GTTGTGCATACATTTTAAAATTACATAGATAAAGAGTTTTGGTGACCTTGGTTATTGTTGTGGCTATAGTACGTAAATTACGGATAAATAAAATAGATTGTAGTTTAGTAAAAATTAATAGAAAACCAACCCAAAACCTTTCCTACCTCTCAGAGGCTAATGTAATTGGGAAATGTGTTTCTATAGGGCATAATCTAGATTTTTCCGTAGAGTACACCCACTTCGGATTTCATGAAGTATTCTTTTCCAAAGACAGACGATAACTTGCTGGGGGTGGATAGGTGGTGGTCTCTCTTATCACTTTCGTAATCGGGAATATCATTCATCAGCATGACCGGCAAAAAGATTCAATAACAAAACATTAAAGAGGCAGCACACATATTTCGTGAGGGAGCGACACGTCACTCGTCGACTTCTCTTAATTTAGTTCCAGAATAATCCGACTCTTAGTTGTGAAATTGCCAAACTGAATTCGTGGTGCGTATTCTCTATAAGCTATGTATGTATGTATATGAATACATAGTTATGTACATACACATGTAAACGTAAAACCCCAAAACCCCTAGAACTTACTCATTCGCATAGAATTGGGAAATACAATACGCTGAATCATGTGAATCAAAAAACATAAACAATGGAAGTTCGCCACTAACTGGTTTCTTGGTCAATTCACGAAAGAGCCGGCCCTAAATTTTAGCGAAAAATGTAGAGAAAGGTCACAGCAGACCAAGAGAACCAGTTGGACAGCATTCAACAGGAGATATGTACACATGCGTCACAGGTACCCGGCCACAAACAAAAAAGGAAAGGAAATGCAAAGAAACAAAACAAACGAAAGAGAGAGCAAGAGATGCCAAAATGAAGAGCAAAAATCTGCAAAGAGAAACGTTGGAAGCTTAAAAAGCTTTATCTAATACATATAGACAGAGGCGTGTATAGTGTGAGGAGATGAGAGGGTATGCTTTTGCTGAATATCATTTAAACCACTTGATGCTTGTATTTCCATTGTGTGCAGCTGCGTTGCTGTTTGCCTAAATAAATACTGAACTTTGCAGTTAATTAGCGTTAGCTGTCCTACTAGATAAAGTCGTCAATAGTTGTTATGTGCTAAAATCTACATCTAATCACGGCAAGCCTAGAAGAAATGTACTCATTTGGGTAATTTTCTATGCCCCCATGAGCTTTCCCCAACAAACCAACGAATAATCACCATGATGAGCACTTTATCATTGAAGCGTCGGGTGGGGTACTTATGAGCGAGTATCAACCAAACAAACAAACAAACGAACGCGTTGATATGAGTAATGGGTATATAATTTAGCTATATATATATGGGTTGTCTGCCAGTCGCAAGTCAGTTTACTTTTCCCTCTTCAGCGAGCAACACTTAAAAACACACATAAATATCTGAACATGGACTTCTATTATATGCCGGGTGGAAGTGGTTGCCGTACCGTCATCATGACAGCCAAGGCACTGGGTGTGGAGCTGAACAAGAAGCTCTTGAACACCATGAAGGGGGAGCAACTGGCTCCTGAATTCGTCAAGATCAACCCACAGCACACCATTCCCACGCTGGTGGACAACGGTTTCGCCATCTGGGAGTCGCGTGTCATTGCCACCTACCTGGTGGAGAAGTACGGCAAGGATGACTCCCTCTACCCCAAGGATCCTCAGAAGCGTGCCGTCGTCAATCAGCGCCTCTATTTCGATCTGAGCACCCTGTATGATTCCTTTGCCAAGTATTATTACCCATATTTCCAAACCGGCAAGCCCGGCGACGCTGAGGCACTGAAGAAGGTGGAAAACGCCTTTGACTTCCTCAACACCTTCCTGGAGGGAGAGACCTATGTGGCTGGCAACCAGTTGACCGTTGCGGACATTTCCATCCTGGCGACAGTCTCGACCTTCGATATTGTTGAATTCGATTTGAAGAAGTACCCAAATGTGGACAAGTGGTACGCAAATGCCAAGAAGGTGACTCCCGGCTGGGATGAGAACTGGGATGGTTTGCTGCAGATGAAGAAAATTATCGAAGAAATGACGTCGAAGGCAAACTAAATCTGTAATAAATTGTAGTTAAACTATATTAAAAGAAATCTTTGATTACTCATGTACATGCATCAATGGTTTATTTCTGGGTCACATTTTATACCACTTAAGAGTGGATCGTTTACTTATCTAATCTGACTGGTAGAAGGCCTAGTAAATCCTCTTTTGACTCACAGGAGCTCTGAGGCGTTTCCACACATCAAGGCTGATCGTTTGAATGAAATTAAATCAGATATAGATAATTATTGTGATTGGAAAAATGTTTACAAAATTTACTGATTGGAAAAATTGTAATGGAAAAATATGATGGCATTCTATTAGATGTCCCCACCTTATCTTAGATGCAAAACAAACACAAAAAGGTTGGTTTGGAAAAAAAAATAAAGTATTTATTTGTGCATTTCCAACAATATGGTCTATCGCTGCTGAATAATTGCAATCATCGATGAGAACTACAAGTTTCTATTTGCATGCTTAAAGTACTTGCAATTAGTTTATTTCTTAGGGTATTATTATTTCCTTGACAAACATTAACTAACAATTATATAAGCTGCTAATCCTTCTTTGGCTGCAGGAAGGGTTTCATGGCAAGAAGGTCTGGCAGGGTCTCCTCCCAGCCGGGCGTCACTTTCTTGACATTGGCGTACCACTTGGCCACATTCGGGTACTTCTTCAAATCGAAGTCCACCACTTCGACTGTGGAGATGGTAGACAGAATGGAAATGTCCGCAATGGTTAGCTGGCTGCCAGCCACATAGACTTGTCCCTCCAGGAAGGTGTTGAGTAACTCAAATGCAGTTTCGAGCTTCTTAAACGCCTCTGGGGGACCGAATTTGCCAGTGTGCAGAAATTTGTAGTAGGAGCTGGAGAAACCGTCGTACAGAGTGGCCAAATCGAAGAAGAGACGCTGGTTGACCAATGCCCGCTTCTGAGGATCCTTGGGGTAGAGAGAGTCATCCTTGCCGTACTTCTCCACCAGATAAATGAGAATGGCACGCGACTCCCACAGGACGAATCCATTGTCGACGAGGGTGGGAATAGTGTGCTGTGGGTTGATCTTGATGAACTCGGGCTTCAAGTGTTCCCGTGCCATGACATCCACAACCTTCTTGTTCAGGTCCACTCCGACAGCCTTGGCAGTCATGATCACAGCCCGACTGGCACCAGGGCTGGGCATGTAGTAGAGATCCAAGGTAGGCATTGCGATTGTTCCGTGTTACTCGTTGGGATTGGGAAAGTGAACTGACTTAGGGCCATCAAAGCAACTCCCTTATATACCAAAATAGTGCTGAGTTTCTGTGAAGTTTGTTTGTCCCTTATCAACACAAATTTAATTACTGAAAGGCGATTAACAACCCAATAATGCAAATTCATAGGTGGACAGTGGAAAGGGCTGGTAAAATATGTTCCTCCTATCATTAAGGAAATTAAATTAAAGTGCCAAGAGACACTTTTGATGTTGGTTATCATCGGAGTGTTTATTATACGAGTGCTAGTAGTATCTGCACGAGTGGTCCGATCAATATGATTTCGGGTACCGCGTAGCTACGTAGCCACAGATGTAGCGGTAAACCTCTATGGGAAAAAGCTTTGCTATAAAAGCTGGCTGTTTGATTTTTATTCCGTTCAGTAGCAAAGCGTTCACTGCAACTGAAACAAGGCATCACAAATATTTTTTGACATGGATTTCTACTACCACCAGGGCTCGGCCCCTTGTCGCTCCGTCATTATGATAGCCAAGGCATTGGGTGTGGACCTTAATCTGAAGTTCTGCAATATCTTGGCGGGGGAACAGCTGAAGCCTGAGTTTGTAAAGCTCAATCCTCAGCACACAATTCCCACCATTGTGGACGACGGATTCGTGCTTTGGGAGTCACGTGCCATCCTCATTTATCTGGTTGAGAAGTACGGCAAGGAGGACGACTCCCTATATCCCGCAGATCCTCAGCAGCGAGCTCTGATCAACCAACGACTGTACTTTGACATGGGCGTCCTGTTTCAAAGCTTTTATCAGGCCATCTTCCCGCAGATCGTGACCAAAAAGCCACCCACACCTGAGGCAATGGAGAAAGTGAAAAAGGCCTTTGAGCTCTTGAATACCTTCCTGGAGGAGGATGAGTTTGTGGCCGGCCCTAGTCTGACTGTGGCCGACATCTCCATTCTGGCCATTGTCTCCACCTTCGAAGTGGTGGACTATGACATCAGTCAGTATCCGAATGTGACCAAGTGGTACGCGAAGGTCAAGGAGGTCACACCCGGCTGGGCGGAGAACTGGGAGGGTGTACAGTGGTTAAAAAACTATATGCAGTCCAGTTAAGAGCGACTCGTGCATGATGTTATCATACTGTCAATTATATTTATTTATTTAATCAGAATTTGTTCACGGGCATTCGAATCACGCAATAATAATTGTTCCCTTTGGCAGCAGCCAAAATTTATATTTTCTCTTTTCCTGTTGTTAGTTACGCTTTTGTGAACCTTAACGAGCGAGCAAACTATTTGTTATTTAAAATTTCGGTATAGGTTTGGAACATAAGATAGAGCTTAAGAGCAGTGCTTAAGAGCGCGAGAGAGCGGCCTTAACTACAGAAACGAAGAAGGCGGCATAGAGAAACGAAAGAACGTGCGTAAGCTTTTGCGGTGAAAAAACACATTGTTTGTGTACAGCGGGCGGCAGTGAAAAAAGCCGGCAGATAGAGAGCGCGAGACAGCAGCTTACATGTGTTTGTATGTATGTGTGTAGGTGCTCTGACTACAGAAACGAAGAAGACATTACCGAAAACCATTTGTTGTGCGCTATACATACATACATACATACATACATATATTTGTACATTCATACATATGAACATGTTTGTTGCTGGTGGCCATATAATTGATGACATAAATCGAACAACATTTTCAATCATAAATGAAAAGTTCTTTTTATATAGATATTTGATATACCATTCGGTACATAAGGCTGTTGCTCTGGCAGCCCAAGTTCAGTTGACTTTCTTTCTCTTACGTCTAACACGGTACAATCGCGATGCCTACCTTGGATCTCTACTACATGCCCAGCCCCGGTGCCAGTCGGGCTGTTATCATGACTGCCAGAGCTGTCGGTGTTGAAATGAACAAGAAGGTTGTGAATGTCTTTGCGGGGGAACACTTGAATCCGGATTTCGTAAAGATCAACCCACAGCACACCGTTCCCACTCTGGTAGATGACGGATTCGTTCTATGGGAGTCGCGTGCAATTCTCATTTATCTGGCGGAGAAGTACGGCAAGGATGACTCTCTCTACCCCAAGGATCCTCAACAGCGAGCTCTGGTCAATCAGCGTCTCTTCTTCGATTTGGCCACCCTTTATGCCGCCATTTCGGGTTACTACTACCCGGCCTTCAGCACTGGCAAGTTCGGATCTCCAGAGGCGTTCAAGAAACTCGGAACTGGATTCGAATTCCTCAACACCTTCCTGGAGGGTCAGAAATATGTGGCCGGCAGCCAGCTAACCATTGCAGACATTTCCATTCTGGCTACCATCTCCACAATCGAAGCAGTGGACTTTGACTTGACGAAATATCCCAATGTGGACAGATGGTACGCAAATGCCAAGAAAGTGACGCCCGGCTGGGAGGAGACCCGACCAGGACTCGACATAATGCGAGCCTTACTGCAGCCAAAGAAAGTCTAAGGATATCTGCTCTTAAGCTAGTTAGTTATTGTTTATAGTTTACTTAACGCATTTGTGTTGAAATAGTGTGATAAGAATGTTCCAGAGCGTGGATAGATAATAAAGCTGAAACAATTATATTAAACCAAATTGACGTAGAAACTCTGAGACTCTTTTAGTGGACAGATATTCATATATCACCAATGCATTCCTGCATCAATCAATCAATGCATCAATATTTATATTGCCGAAATCAGCTGGCATATGTGATAATGAATTGAAATGTCAATTGTGGTGATGTCAAGCGGTGACGAGCATATTTTCCATACACTCAGCGCAGAAAACGTAGATAATTCCAGACTGGTGGGGCTATATAAATGAAGCCTGTTGCTGTTTTCATTTCAGTTCACTTCTCCACTCAGCAGCAAACAGTTTGGGTTTTAATCGCGATGCCTAATTTGGATCTCTACTATATGCCCAGTCCCGGACCCAGTCGGGCTGTGGTCATGACAGCCAAGGCTGTCGGTGTGGAATTGAACAAGAAGCTCCTGAACCCCAAGTTGGGAGAGCACCTGAAGCCGGAATTCTTGAAACTAAACCCACAGCACACCATTCCCACCCTCGTGGACGATGGATTCGTCATTTGGGAGTCGCGTGCCATTCTCATTTATCTGGTGGAGAAGTACGGCAAGGATGATTCCCTCTACCCCAAGGATCCTCAAAAGCAGGCCTTGATCAACCAGCGACTGTACTTCGATATGAACACCTTGTACGATGCCTTTGCCAGCTACTACTATCCACTTCTCCGAACTGGCAGTTACGGCGACGCTGCAGCGTGGACGAAGGTGCAAAATGCTTTCGAGCTGCTCAACACCTTCCTGGAGGGACAGGAATATGTGGCTGGCAGCCAGCTAACCATTGCGGACATTTCCATTCTGGCTACCATCGCCACGATCGAACTGGTGGATTTCGACTTGACGAAATATCCGAATGTGGCCAAGTGGTACGCAAATGCCAAGAAGGTGACGCCCGGCTGGGAGGATACACTGGAAGGCTTATTGTCCAGGAAACATTTGTTTGATGCCAAGAAGCCAGAGTTTAAGTAGAATATAAGTAATTTTTAGTCTTATTTTGATTTGATAACATTTTAAAAATTATAGAAAACTTAACAACAAAAGAGTGTCGCAAAATATATATGGACTTGTTTCAATGCAGATATAAAGTTTCACCCTAATTGTAATCATTTTTAGACACTAATCAATATGAAAACAGCAGTAATATGAATATTATTTTCCATACTCATGTTCCATATGCCTAACGTCTCCATAATTCCCCTTCCCATTTGCATTTCTTCCCATTATAAATGTTTTTTATATTTTAAATTGGAGAATTGGTAGAAGCTACGAGTAGGTACTTACATGTGTGTACCACGTCATTAGCCTAGAACCTATAATTAGGTACAATCAAATATGTGTCCTTTGAGGAAAGAGGGGGCGCTGCCATGGGAACAGTTCTGTCATAACGAATCCTTGGATGACCTGAAATCACACAAAGGTCATCGGCGCTATGAGTTTGATAGCATTTAGGGCTTTGTCTGGACGTTGATATTCAATGACTGACAAGCGAAAGCCTGTTACGCGCGGAACCCAGCCCTCCTCCCGCCCAACCGACCGAGGGGTGCTGCCGCATGATGCGCTAACTATAGCTAAGCAAGCAAAATTACCATAGTCAGAAACAAGACAAAGTTAAAATGAAACTAACTAAGGGAGAGGTGGGCTAGTATTAGAGATTTAAGTGCACGAGTACAGAGCGGACCAATCAAAATCCCTAATAGGGATATTGAGCTTCGCAAACTCGGCTTTACGAAAGCAGCGGACGCGTTCAGATAGCCTACCAGAACGATGCGATCCAATAGGTCCAATATCTACCGACACTTCGAAAGTAGAATGATAGCAGTCTCCAGGTATAGTGAGCGGAAGTGCTCGCTACAGTCAGATCCGAGACAAAGCGCAGATCAAGCAATCGACCCAAGGAATTGCGAGAAATTGCAGTGGGAAGAGGTGGATGAAGCAGAGGAGGAAGGCGCACTGGCCTCACTACTAGGAAGAGTTATGGGTCGCCTATTTTGCTTCTTGGCCTTAAACTCTTTCACAACCGGTGCTCTGGCCAAAATTTGGAAGAGCAAATGGTCTCGAAATGAGTTGGAGATACGCTAATCTTGAAAGAAGCTATCTCCCTGGCATAAGAGAAATGAAACTTCTCCACCTTTAAGCCATCGGATTTTATTTTTTCAGTTACATCATTACATGTGAGGTCAGGGGCAAGCCAAAAGACAAAAACCTGCCGTTTTGGTGGGACTCCCACCAGAGGTTTTGGCACCACAGATCTGGTGACCTGTGACGGCAATATCCGTTGATCCGGGACGTTTATTGACTGGTGGGATCGAAATAGATGGGATATTTCAACCACGTATTCCATTATTTGTATTATTTATATTGAATATATAAATAAAAAATTAATACAAATTATTTTCTCAAAAACAAATAGCAATGGGACCAGTGTGCCGACAATGCTTAAAGCAATGCTTAAAGCGGGATCGAAAACAGATGATAGGAGTGAGGAGAGAAGAACAAGTGCCGCGAAAGCTAAACGGAGAGCGCGATCTACGGCACAGAAAGTATGGAGAGCAAAAGAGGGAAAACAGTTACTCGAGCCAGAGTGAAAAGGCAGAAGCGCAACTACAAGAGAGAGCGGCTAATAGTGAGGGCGTACTTACAAAAAGAAAAAGCAAAAACACACGACTAACCCGTCAAACACTTCTGGTCACTACGAAATAGAACAAAAGAACTGTCTACAACTATGTAAATATGTATGTATGTATGTACCTATTCAATGTGCTGTGAGAACTAAGAATTGACGAACAATTAAACTATACTTAACAAATTTATATGAATGGTACATATGTATATATGTAAATAAATACATATGTATTGTTATAATTATATTTCCATTAGCAAATAAAAGGTCACAGTTCGTACTGATACGAATATATGACCGAGCGGCATGCCCATGTTTGGGCACATGTTGGTACACGTAGCCCAAAAAGAGCTTTATACACTTATAAAAGTTCGCAGGGGGCTTGCCCCTTGATACATATATAAACAAAGCTTTTCTATAAAAGCCGGCCGTGCTAGTTGTATCCGTTCAGTATCAAAAAGTTTCTGTAGCTAACACAACGTTCTTTAACATGGATCTCTACTATCACCCGGGCTCGGCACCTTGCCGCTCCGTCATTATGACAGCCAAGGCACTGGGACTTGAACTTAACCTGAAGCAGCTGAATATCCCGGCGGGGGATCAGCTGAAGCCCGAGTTTGTGAAGCTCAATCCTCAGCACACAATTCCCACGCTCGTGGACAACGGATTCTCGGTGTGGGAGTCGCGAGCCATCCTCATTTATCTGGTGGAGAAGTATGGCAAGAAGGATGACTCCCTCTATCCCGCAGATCCTCAGAAGCGAGCTGTGATCAACCAACGCCTCTACTTCGACATGGACCCTTTGTTCCAATGCTTCTATAAGGCCATCTACCCGCAGATACTGTCCAAAAAGCCATCTCCTCCAGAGGAAATGGAGAAAGTGGACAAGGCCTATACGCTGCTGAACACCTTCCTGGAGGAGAATGAGTTTGTGGCCGGCTCAAGTCTAACTGTGGCCGACATTGCCATTTTGGCCACTGTCTCCACCTTTGAAATTGTGAACTTTGACTTTTCAAAGTATCCGAATGTGGCCAAGTGGTACGAGACTGCCAAGAAGGTGACACCCGGCTGGGAGCAGAACTGGGAGGGTATAATGATCATCAAAGCGTTCATGGATTCCAATTCAAAGTGAAGCATAGGTTATTATTATACTGACAAATATACTCCATTTATTTATTTCATCATAATGAGTACTCGGGCACACTAACAATTAAATAAAAAATGTTCCCTTGGGGAGCAGCACAATTATATATTCTCTTATCTTGTTATTAGTTCCGCGTTTGGTATGGGTTGGGTTTTGCTATTAAACAATGGCATTTATTTACATTTCAAAAGTGGAGAATGCTGAAATGTATGATATTTTTGCGGAAAATTAGTTTTGAAAAATGCTTCTTAATTATAAATAGAGCAAGAGAGCCATAGCTATGCCTCTCCTATGCATAGAAGAAAGCTCTTTAGAGCAGCTTCTCTTAAGAGCGCGAGAGAAGAGCAGCTACCTGCTTCAACTGAAAACACGAAGGTTGTGAGATAAAGAACCTAAAAAGCGTGCGTAAGCTTTTGCGGTAAACAGTGCTTATGTACAGCGAGCGGCAGTGCGAAAATCCGGCGGTAGGCGCCGGGAAATGTAGAAATTCATCTCTCAGCGAACAAATACACTTTCCAAACTCCAAAGCGTCATTCATTTAATCGACATCACTAAGCAAACAACGCAACAAAATGTGAGCTCAGAAGCAACACAAAAATGGCAAACGTCTCAAGCGCTAAAAATGAAAACACATATGAAGAATGAGAATTGCCATCATGTATGGATGAAGCAGATTTGAAAAGGAAAAACAAAACTTTGGTTTTGCGAGAGTCGCTTTGCGCTCAATGCTCAAGAGAGCCATCAAACTCTCTCAGCCGAGGGCTCTCTCACCAAGAGCCGAAGGCACTGGGACCCAATCCCCTATACTGATTATGCAGCCAGTTTTAACTCGGTTTGACCACTCTAGAAGTTGTTTGCTTAGTGTTGACATTGATCAAAAAAGTGAGATTGTTTACTTGTTGGTTGCTGTGAGAATTCCATTTGCCCGGCACGACTGCAATCGCAATAAAGTTGAATGCACGCGATGATTTTCCCCTCACATATATCTCCCCGTGCTGGGGCTGGGCTACGGCCATTGACCGTTGGACGATTAGATTAGTTTAGTTAACTAACAAACGTGCAGCTAGTGGCATTAAACACACACAGACACACACACAAACGCTTTACATTGCTCAGTGTGCCATAAGAGGGGGTGCACATGGCTGATGTCCCATCAGCGACAAGAAAATGTTAAATTGTTTTTTATGACCAGATTAAAAGTACATTTTGCCTTTCATTTAATTAACGAGCGAACAATAAATCTAAAACCCATTCCAGACCAGCAACACCACCCTAGCTGGAGTCTGGCTCCACCAACTTCTGCAGCTGTCGATACTTGCGGATGGCATTCCGCACGAATTCCGTGGCACGTCGCACCCGCTCCGGTGTCATCTCCTCGGCCAGCATGCGACCCACATCCTGGGCGCCGCCCGTGCGCAGAATGTTCACCGCCTTGGCGGGTATATCACAGATGGGCGTGATCCGGCAAAGAGCGTTGGTGATGGCGCCTCCAAAGAGAATAACACCGACGGCGGAGAGCACCACAGCGGCGATGCGGAAGAGCGTGGACATCAGGATGGTCGGCAGCAGCCTGGAGGCAAACGCGAGAAGAGGATTGTCGGAGGTGGAAGGAGCTGGGGCAGCTGCCACCACAGTTGTGGAGTCTGCTTGGCCAGCGGCATTGGCGGGCACCAGAAAGCCCTCATAGCCGGTCTGCACAACAATGGGTCCAGGATAGGGATAGAGGCCAGGCGCTCCAGCGGATATCGGTGCTGGGTAGCTGCCGCCAAAGGGCGCATAGGCCGCGGCACCATACTGGCTCAGATATTGCTGGAAAGCCTCGGGTGTGATTAGTCCGCTGGCATAGATAGTTGTGGGATCAATGGAGCTGCCACTGGCTTCGTTGTCGGGCTGTAAATCTTCGATCATTAGTTCCATCTTCAGGTTACAGCTACTGCGCTGCGATAACTTACCGCTGAAGACACTTCGGAGGACTCTGCCACCTGTGAACTCGTCTCATTGCTGTTGTTGCCGAGTGCAGTCTCCCCCTGTGGTGGTCTCCCCTCTGCCGTTTTGTCACTCTCGTCGATGGTATTTGGTGTGGCTGCCGCGGGTGTTGCATCCAGTGCTGGCACACTGAGTGCTCCTCGAATCAGCAGCAGCAGTAGCAACACCGAATGGGATTTGCATTGTAGACGCAACATTTTCATCGCTTGCTCTTCGACTAACGACTGATCCTGCAGCGTGTTCCGGCTGGGCTATTTATGGGCTCGCTGAAGCCATTTTTCGGACAACGTTTTGCAATTTACGTCGCATTTTCCGGGAATTTAATGCCAGCCCCGAGAGCCTTTTCCAGAATCCTCTAAATGAGGCATTGTTGCTGCCATTTACCTGTCCGGCTCAGTACAGGTAGATGATCCTGAGATTCGGAATAATCCTTACACTGCCGGCCATAATTACCAACCCTGTCATGTCCTTGAACGGCCCTGGGTATGGGTATGGGGATGGGTCTCTTCATTGTTTAGTAAATTCCTAAAAATTTCAAGTGATGCCAATCAAAACAGTGTCCATACGAGTGGCTCCCCAACTCCAAGCTGAAGCCAATGCGGCGGCCGGGTGGCCCGCTATGAAGTGCATTGAATTGGAAACTTTGTTAGCAATCAATAAAAAAAGAAAAACGAAACATAGCTTGGGAAAATGATGTAGTCGTATAATTTTAGACACGAACAGGAAAATTTTGACCGAGTTTCGGCACCAGCACACGCCCACTGCCCCCGCACGAACACAGCGGACAGGTGAACACTCATCAGAAGAGGGGAAGGAGGAGGAAGGACCAGACCAGGACAAGGGTGGTCGTCCCTGGCAACGTTCGCTATGAAAACTAAACGAAAACAAAAGAAACTCCAAAGACAACGGACAACACATTCAGAAAATTAAAGGAGACAGAAGGCGGATACAACAACGGACAGAGACATCGCCAAGTTGCGACAGTCGAGAGATTGCAATCACGGAGACCGTTCGGCAGCATCAACTGCAGCCAGGACAGAACCAGAAGCAGGAGCAGCTGGCTAAAGCTGTGGGGCAAAGCAGTTGGAGCCACGCCACGCACTTTGCCGCACGAGACTCGACGGCACACTGCCACACACTGGGGAATTGCATAGACATCGACTCGGTAGCCGTGGTGCAGCACAAGCTGGTGCACAAGATTGTGTGAGTAGATTCCAACAGAGCCCCTGCTCCGCCCCCGTTTGTTGCATATCCCATAATGAATAAATAAGTGAGTGCAATTAAACTGCTGTCGACGCGAAGTATGCCATATTCTTGGACTATCTGCGAGAAAGTGATTCGAATGGTGGCATACCCTGTTTTATTTTGAATTTCTCAAAACTTTTCATAGTTTTTACCTTCTGCTCAAGCAGTTCAAGTGGCGCCATCACAACTAGCAGCGGTCACTTTTGGTACTCTCACGAGTGTGCTGCACTCAAAACCTCGCTGCTGTGAAACTGCCAAGATCAGTCTGCCGCCAAACCGCATAAAGTGTTCGATCAGTTTTAATTGCTATTTTCAATAACATTGACAAGCCGCAGGGCTTGTCCTTCAAGTCAAATTAATAAAAAATACATGTACAAAATCGATGCATTGATTTTTTGCGGTGTGTACTGTCCAGCCAGTAGTTTTTGGGGCTGCTCGAGCGGTCAAAGGGCAACGTGTTGGCATTTCAGTTTTGAATTTCAGCCAATGAGCGACACGAAGCGTATTGTAACCGAATTCGTTTATTGTTTACTGCTCAGCGGTGGAAAAAGAATGTCACCACCCGTGCTGTACTACCTGCCACCCAGTCCGCCCTGCCGCAGTATTCTCCTATTGGCCAAAATGCTGGGCCTGGACTTTGAGCTGAAGATCGTCAACATACTGGAGGGGGAGCAGCTGAAGCCGGACTTTGTGGCCATGAATCCCCAGCACTGTATACCAACCATGAACGATGAGGGTCTGGTACTCTGGGAAAGGTGAGTTGTGTTGCCATAGGAAAGTTCCTTTAACTTTCAAGTGTTTCCCTTGCAGTCGCGCGATTCTTGCGTATCTGGTGGCTGCCTATGGCAAAAGCGATGAACTTTATCCCACGGATATACGAGTGCGTGCGCTGGTCGATCAACGTTTGCAGTTCGATCTGGGCACCCTCTACATGCGCCTCACCGACTACTATGTGAGTATATCCCTGCCTCCTCTCTGCTGCAAGCAGTAATAATTCCATTTTCCCAGTTCCCCACAATGTTCATTGGCGCTCCGCTGGATGAGGGTAAACGCGCCAAGCTATCGGAGGCGGTGGGCTGGTTCAACACCATTCTGGAGGGTCGACAATTCGCCGCCGCCGAGCACTTTACCATTGCCGATCTGACGCTGCTCGTCACCGTGTCCCAGCTGGAGGCATTCGACTTTGAACTGCGTCCCTATAAGCACATAAGGCAGTGGCTGGAGCGCTGCAAGGAGCACGTGGCGCCGTACGACTACGAGGAGCTGAATGGCAGCAAGGCCATACTAATGGGCGATATGTTCAAGGCCAAGATGAATCAGGCAGCAGCCCAATAATGTGTAGAATTGAGTTTCTACGCGTATTATTTATTATACCCGAGCAGTTATCTATTGTGTATTCGTAAGTGTTGTATTGAATAAAAGTTATGCACTAGTCAAAAGCTGGGTTTCTGTACATCAAGGTGCTTGCAGCTGAACGGCGTGTAATGTTGTATATATTTACAGTAAATGCCATCGAGCATAATTGCCTGTTAATGCTCTTCGTACCTATTACCTATCTCGCTCTATTAGCTCTCTCCAGCTAAAGCTCGCGCTCTGCATGCGTTGACTTTGATCGCTGCTTATCTGAGCTTTGATCCGAGCTTTTTGCTGCTGCTGCAGTTTGAAGCGCAAACAAACAAACAAACAAACACAAATCATTGAAAGTAAAAACAGAAACAGTAAGCTAAGGAATAGGAATAGTGTACGCAACGCCACAAATTAAATTTCCTTTTATATCGGCCCTAACTTTAATTGAATTTTTGTTCAAAATTTGAGATGAATTTACTGCTACAACTTGGACAGTAAATGCTACAGTAGCTATAGTAGCAATAGCTACCCACAAAAAAACAATGACGAAACGGCACACATTTAAAAATACCTTGACCAAAACACTGTGGAAGGGACACGCTGCCCGACATTGCCGCAGGCAAATATGGGAACGTGTGCATTTGAGTGGGGAGCCAAGAGAGAGCGACAGAGGGAGAGAGAGAGAGCAGAAGCAGGCGCCAGCATCAGAAACTAATCAACGGACTTTGATGGCGACGACGACGACGACGACGACACCTGCAACAAAGCCAGCATAAAAACCTCAAATGAGATTTAATGGCACGGCAAGGAGGAGCTGAGCAGCAGCAGCCCAGTTGGATGCGAGGTGTTGGCTATTTTTAAACCACAAGGACCGAGCCGCGCAGCAGGTACAGCAGCCTGGGTAGAGCAAAAGGATAACGATTGCTGGCCGCACAGTTTCACTTTGGTCGCTGAATATGGAGGCCGCTTGGCTACTAGCTCTGGGATTAGCTCTGACTCTGGAGGCGATTCGCAGCAGCAGTGGACAGCAGCAGCAAGTGGCTGCCAGCAGCAAACAGTCGCAACTGTGGCTGGGTGGGTGTGCCAGTAAACGATGCCAAAGGATACCCCCACTGATGCAGTTAATCCCTTGCAGATTGCTCCTGCCTGCATGCCAATGAGCGGAATGCCAGCCAGTGGGGCAGGGTGAGCATCAATGCGAGTCAGGCACTCGGCGCCAAGAACAACTGCCTGATGGTGTTCATCGGGGGCATGGATGATGAGCTGGTTGCCTTTCAGCTTGAGCAGTTGCAGCTGCGCGCCGGGTGAGTAGCATTGCTTCCGCCCTGATCTGCGTATTTGCGCATCGGGCAGCTGTCAGTGACAGCCATCAGAAATCATAAATCGAAAAGAGGTGCACCATCGATAGATAAGGCTGATCTTGTCCATCCATCTATCGGGCAGGGTAAACGCGATTGCCAAATATCCGAGAGAGGGAAGCGCAGCGCGCAATGTAATTAAAATACCTTGTGAAGGCCATGTGGACGGTATGGTTCGGTGGAGTCGCCGTGGCCACCGGCACGCCTGGTTATTTATATAAATCGAGGGAAATGGTCAGCGCCCACAAATTTGTGTCAATTTCTATGCAAAATCCCATGCGCATCGCACACACCACACAACCCTACCCCCCGGATATGCCTAGGAACATCAAAATTACATACACAATTTTCGGAATCGATTTGTCAATAAAATTGGAGAGCACTGGCCACGCAGATTTCAGTGGAGCTTGGACCGAGCGCGCCGCCGTACGTATGAATACATTTTAAAGTGTTCCTCGACAGTCGCCGTCGCAGTGCAACAGTCGCGTCGCCGTTGCAGTCACAGTCGCGGTTCGCAGGAATGTGCACGCTTAACGGCTATCAAGTGAATGTGAAAAATTAAACGCTTAAAATAATAATTTAAATTGTGAATTAAAACTACAAATTCATCGACTCAAAATGTCTATGGATCCAACAGTTTCCCTGGAGGATCTGGAGCGTGTGAGTGAAAAAAAAGCCAACCCATAGACTGGAGAGTAAAAATTCCATGAATTCCAACTGCAGCGTCGTCGTCGTGCCAGCTCGGCGCGAAAGGCCTCACAGACACCTCAGCCGCCACCACATTTGGCCGAATCGGAGGCCATGGCCGTGATCAATGAGATATTCAATCCCTCGCTGAAGCTGCCCGACAGCGGTGGCCACTACACGCTGCCGGAGGAGATGAGCGCCGACGATGATGTGGCGCCCCAGGAGCTGGACATTTCGAAGCTAGCGGAGCTCAAGGAAGTAAGTGCACAGCGATGACAGCATCTGGTTTGACCGACTGACTGTTTGGATTCCTCCGAGCAAAGGTTTTTGCGCTCTTTGACACGGATTGCGATGGATTGATATCGAAGGATGATCTGCGCTTCACCTACACCGCACTCGGCAATGAGGCCAACGAGCAGCTGCTGGAGCAAATGATGCTGGAGGCCAAAGAACCACTGGACTACGAGGCCTTTGTACGTCTGATGTCGCGCCGCACACAGGAACTGGATCCCGAGGATGTGCTGCTGGAGGCCTGGAGCAAATGGGACGACCATGGCACGGGCAAAATCGAAGAACGCAAGTGTGTGGTGGAGTCAGGCATTTGAGGGACACAAAATCTAAGTATTCCCTTACGCCACTCTAGAATCTACGAGGAACTGACCAACTATGGCGACAAAATGAGCCTCAACGAGGCCAAGGAGGCGCTCAGCCATGCGCCAATGGCCAAGCCCAAGTCCCTGGAGGAGCCGCCAATGATTGATTATCCAGCCTTCTGCCGCATGCTCGGTGGCATGCGCAAGCGAAAAGAAACCTAAGGAATCGAAATGGAATAAAAATAAAGGGGAATAAATCCCCTTTCAGATGATGCAAAAATTAAAAACCTTTCCCTTAAAAAAACCCTCAAATTAAAAGGAATTTATTGCAGTCTCCATTTTCCCCATCTCCAAAGATATTGAAAAGCTGCCAGCAGCTGCCTCGAATATCCGAATGTTATAACTCTTGGCGCCAACATTTGTGCGACTTTTTTTGGTCAAAATAAATCGTGAAGAACCAACAGAGAGCGATGGGAACTATTTCTTAATGGGCAAAGCGGGTTGGGATATTTATAGGTTGGCTGACCAACGAGCCAGCCCCAAAAGTATCGGCCAATAAATTTCAGACATCGTTACGCATCTGCCATGGCAGGCACAAATTCCGGCATCGTTATATCTTTTTTTGAATTTTTTAAATTGCAATTTTCGTGACAGGTGCTTGGACAGCGTTGAGATTTTTCCGTATCTGCGCGAGCCCGTCATCGAGAACTCAACACTGCCGGCGGACACTTTCTGCCTGCATAGCAATAATCGCACTGCCACGCCTATTTATAGCTCGGGCAGGCTGCTGGGATTGCGGCTGCGTTTCCAGCATCCGCCCACAAAGTTGGACAATTGGAAGCTGAACCTCACAGCCAGCTATAGCTTTCTGAAACGAGGTGAGCCCTGAAACGATCTTTGGTGAATTTTCCATGATTTCCCTTTATTTTTCTTGCAGAAAACTTCAAAACGGAGGGGCGGTTGGTGCCGCACAGCTACTGCGATTTTTACTTCTTTGCCAGTTTGGCCGGGGAGGTGGGCAGCCTGGGGCAGGGCTACTTTCACTCGCCCCGCTTTCCCGCTCACTATCCCGCACACATCAAGTGCGCCTACAAGTTCATCGGGCGGCCCGATACTCGCGTGGAAATCCTCTTCGAGGAGCTGCAACTGCCGCCAGTGCTTAGCGGCGGCTGTCAGCTGGATGCGCTGACAATCTTCGATGCGGAGTCCGCACACATGAACGCCGTGCTGGATGTCCTGTGCACGCCCTGCCCCACGCGTCGACTCGTGAGCAGCGGCCCGGATATGCTGCTGGAGTTTAATGCCAGCTCGAATCGTACAGCCAAAGGATTTCGCGGTAAGTACAAGTTTGTGTCAACTGGACAGGGGTCGCCGTTGCCACCCCCGCCAGCACCCATACTGGAGGCAGCCAGTGTGGCATCGAAGCAGGAGAAGCTGCTGGCCAACAGCGTGAACAGTCTTCAGGCGGATGCGGAGCTGTCGAAGCCCGGACGTTCATTTGGTGAGTTGTCTGGCGCCTCATATATTAGCCTAGATTACATCCCCCCCCCCCCCATCGACCCAACCGACCCAATCGAATTATGCTAATCGTTGGCAAATGGCGGCAAAACTTAGCTGCTGCTCCTTGACGCCTTGGCTCCTCGACAGCTTCCGTCTGTCTGCAGCCGGCCGGAAGCGGATGTGGCCAATCGACTGGGTCTGAAAGGAGCAATGAATCGAAGGATAGATTCAGTCTGTCTTGAGCTCTCGTTGTGTTCAAATGTTGCGCCTGTCGTTGCTCTATAGCCAGCTGCTGCTGGTCTCTTCGTTGCGCGAATCGTTGGCCGTTTGTGCACCATTGCCCGCCAGTGAGTCTGCTTTTGGCCAAGAACATTTATTAATTACACTAACAACTCAATAAAGCTACGATTTGTGGGTGTGTGGGGTGTGTGTGTGTGTGTGTTTCCTAGCCAGCTAGAACCTTGAGCAGAGACCACACGATAGCCGCAGCGCCGCTGCACAGAGTCAGCTGCAAAATGCGATGTAAGACCTGAAAGCTGCGAGAAAAAATCTTCAAAAATTGTTGAAAATATATAAATAAAGTCCTGCACCCACCGCCAAAGTATCTGCCTGCCCCTGCCTATGGTGGTGGGCTGCTCCTTGCCCAAGTAAATGCGAATGCCGCACAGCGCGTGCAAAAAGTAATCGTCCCAATTGATGTCCCGCATGTTAAAGTCAAACAAGCTGTGATCCAGCGAGGACATGCGCTGCCACAACCGCTGCGTGTTGGTCGTATCAAACTTCCACGTGGTGTCCACAAAAGGTGCTAGGATATTGATATTTTTGTGTATTTTCCCGTACAACTTGATCATTCGCGGCTTTTGGCCACGCAGCCGCAGCACCACATCAATGGCATAGCCCGGCAGCAGATGGTAGAAGTAGGCCACGAATCGAAACAGCCAGGGGGTGGTGGTGCAGTGCAGAAAGGGAAACCACATCATCTTGCTCAGCGGATAGCTGTGCACCAGATTTTCGGCTTTATCGCGAAAGTCGCCCCAGGTGATGAGGTTCTCCTCGCTGGGCGTGAAATTGTATATGGCTGGTTCCCCCTGCGGCTTGGCCTCTATGGCCGTGTGCCAGACCGTGGCCAGTGCCATGCAGGCGGAGTAGTCCACGGGCACAATGCCCGCCTGTGCCTTTACATTGAGTCGCGTGATGCGCAGCACACCAAAGGACACGCCATACAGCACGGCAATGGGTCCGTACAGATTGTCAATCCAACCCGACATGGGCTCCTTATAGCTGGCAATGACTGGAAGGGATAGAGGGAGGAGGAGTTACCAAAGCAGCAAAGGCTTTACCGGGGCCAACACCTACTAACTCCTGGTCGAAAGATGCCCACGGGAATGTCGCCCGCCTCCCGCTGAATCACTTGCTCCGCCAGCGCCTTCGTGTAGGTGTAGGTGTTGGGATATTTGCCCATCAGCACGGGTGCCATGCTGTCTATCAGTTCCGCGTCCAGCGACTCGCTCAGCTGCAGCACCTTGTCCGCCGAGCAAGTCAGATGCTCCGGATAGAACTTCTCCTCGATTTTCTCCACCACGCAGTTGGAGTAGGCCGTGGAGATATGCACGAAGGCCTCCAGGCGCTGCATTTGCTTGGCCAGCTGCAGCAGCAGCCGCGCGGCTCTCGTATTGATGGCCAGCGCTATGTGCAGCGGCTCTGTGAAGCGCACTGTGGCAGCGCCATGCAGCACCAGTTGCACCTCCTCAATCAGCAGCCGCCGATCGGAGGCACTGAGGCCCAGATCGGGCGCCTGGCAATCGGCTCTAATGGGCGCCACACGCTGCATGGCCTTGGGCTGGGTTTTCAGTAGTGTATCGAAGACCTTCAGAATGCTTCGGATTATTCGAATTAGTTCGCCAGAGAGCAACAGAAGGGACTACTCACTGGATCGCACTCCCAGGACACAAAGCGCTCCTGGATCTCCTGGCCGCGCTTCGCCCTGAGCAGCACATAGATACGCTTCACCTCCGTGGTGCGCAGCAACTTCTCAATGATCACTGGACACAAAGAAACATCAAAACAAAATAGAGATTAAACTTGAATTGGACTTGTGATCTGGTTGCGAATGATGGCCTTTGCAGCCGGTTCTTAGCGCCTTTTTTGGGGGTTTCACTTTCACTCATCTTTTGTTATGCAGCGTTTGATCATAGTCATATTAATATATTTATATTATGCCAAATCTATTCACAACTTTTAGCCAATATATTGAAATTGTCGAACTTTGATATTTGCAAAGGAAAACCATTATTTTTTGTAGGGAAAAAACTGCATCAGAGCGGGCACAAATGGTTTGGCATTGGCTTTGGCTTGCAGTTCATAAAGTGCACATTTTAATTGCATATTTTTGTGTAATTTATATGCACCCCGGTGTATAATTATTTGTTAAAAAAAAAAACAAAGCAAAGTTCTGGCTACCTTTGCCCAAGAATCCACTGCCGCCAGTTAGCAGCATGATTTTGTCTTTATAAAATTGCTGCATTTCCGACATTCTGCTGATGTTACGTTAATCCTTTTTCCTTCTTTGTGTAAATGCACACACACAAAAACAGACATATACAATATATTTATGTATATTTTGTATTCCTGTGCCGAAGAGTTGATATGCCGAACGCGACTGCTGCTTGAATGAGAGTTGCTTAGAATTTTCACTCCGTATTTATAGCCAAACCGCTGATCGATGAACCAAAAACAAAGCAAAGCAAAGCAAAGCGCATTCTACTATATTATTAAAGGTTGTTTCCAGAGAGACTCGTAAAATAATGTTGTATCCCCTGCTTAGCCCTGACCCCAGTTTAGAAATTAGAACTTGTTGGTTCTGGCTCATGTGCGAATTTTCATGGCCCGTGTCAAGTGGCATTGCGACCCTTTGAACCCTTGGGAGGGTAAGCGCACTCCATGCCAGACCCAAATTAGCTTGGACCTGCACATTTGACTAATTGAAAAACGCTGTCGTCACTTTGGCCCATTCCCTATTTGCCTAGGCTGGAGATAAGCGCACTCACAAACCCGGTAGTTATCTCTGTGGGCAAAGGCAAGTAAGCACTTCATATGGCGAGTGCTGCGCTCCCGTAATTCTGAAGAAAAAAGAAGGTGTCTCTCGATTAATGAATACTTTGACTGCAGGCAAGCCCCCTTTATACACCTTAAAACGTAATATTGAGTTGCAAATTAAAGTCAGTTCAAATTGCACAGTGCACCGGGTAATCATAGTGTTGATTTGATTAGCTTTTAAGGTTCAGTTGCGTATTTTCAGACATGTTTACATTCCAATTGCACAAATCACTGCACGTGCAGGGTAGACAGACAGACAGACAGTGCATCCGTTTCTCAATGAAAATGATATTATTTTAAGTCAACTTTTACTTGTACGCTTAGCTCTGAGGAAGAACCGAAAGAGTGTACGAGTTTCGTAAGCCAACCAAACAAATACTTCACATTGGAACAGAGTATGTGGACATAGGCGTCTACGTAAATCAGAGCCCAAAGATGCGGCAATGTTGTATTGATAAGTAAAAGTCATCGCAGTTATTCTTCTCTTCTCTTACATTTTGAACAGTGATTTAAGGCACTTTTAATGCCAGATTGTGAACAGCAACCGGGCAGGCAACAGGCAGCTGGCATTCCCGACCAAAAATTTCTTTAAATTGTCATTCCAGTCAACAGTACAACAGTGACATGAAGTCACAGATGAACCCCTTGCTATCTTCCAGAATTAGCTTCAATTTGACCAACTCTACAGAGCTTCAATCGCTGAGGCTGGCTGGCAGTAAAAATAATATAAAGACGCTGCATACTTTTAGGCAAAGATTTAATAATTGTAACAAGCATTGTGGCACAGCCTAGAAATTAATTGCGCGGTACAAATTTAATCCAGAATCCACCTTTGGGCGTCAACTGGAAGCCATTGCTGGCCAGCTGCAGGGGAATGCACGATTTCTTGGCTGGTGCAAAGCGATATTCCTTCAACAAATAGTAAATGACAGCCTTGGCCTCGAGCAGTGCAAAGCGGGAACCTGAAAAACAAAAATGAAGACAACTTGCTTCAATTTAAAGACCAGTTCCACTCACCAATGCAGTTGCGTTGTCCCAGACCAAATGGATAATATGTAAAGGGTTGGATGTTGGCTTTGTTCTCATCGCTGAAGCGCTCGGGTTCGAATTTGCTGGGATTCTCAAAGTATTTGGGATCACGATGGAAACCGCAGACGGGCAGCCATATGTAGTCACCCCTTTTGATCTCCAAGGTCTGGCCATCCAAGTCGTAGGTGATGTCCTTGTTGCACTCACGATCTATGGCTATGGCTGCGGGCCACTTGCGCAGCACCTCGGAGACTACCTGATCCAAGTACTTCATGCCCATGATGGCCTCGTATGTCAGTTCCTTGCCATCCAAATCGATGTCCACCTGCTGCACCTCCTCGTACAGCTTCTGCTGCACATCCTCGTTTTCCATCAGCTCCTGTGCGGTGAAGCACATAAGCACCGAGGAGGTCTCAAAGCCGGCAAAGAAGAAGACAAAGCACTGAGCCACAATGTCGCGATCGCTCCATTCACGCACCACTGTGGCCTTGGTCTTGTCTGTCTGGAACAGACCGCGCGCCTCCATCAGCATGTTGATCATGTCTGGGCGGATAATGTTGTGCTCCTGGCGATATTTCATGGCATCCAAAACCAAACGGCAAAAATATTCTGTGCTCTTCTTGTCAAAGAGATCAATTTTGAGTAACTGCAAAAGGGAGATCGAATTATTAGATCAGTTTTCCGAGTTCCATTATCCAACCACAAACCTTATACAACGTCTTGAGGGTGACGAATACCATGAACTTAAGGTTCTGCAGAAAACTGAATGTGGTCAACTTCTTGCCCATCGAATAGAAGGTGTTGTCGCGCTCCTTGAACGAGTTCACCTGCAGCCCAAAGGCCGTGGAGGCAATCACATCGTTGGTGAAGCGTGTGCTGTAATCCTTCATGTCCACATCCGTGCCCTCTCCGGATGCCGTCTGCTCGGGCTTTAGGCAATCCACGGCCTCCTTGGCCACCTGATTCATAAGCTGAAACATTTGTCGCATTTTGCTGCCCGTAAAGGCGGGACTGAGTGTGCTGCGCATGTCCTTCCAGCGTGCATCGCGCATGGAGAAGAGCGAGCTGCCGAAAAGATTGCTCATATCATGTGGATCATCGTCGGTGCCGGTGGCAAAGATATTGCGATGGTTAATAAAGTGATCAAAGTCCTTGATGGTTATTTGCCGCAAAAGTTCCGGATCGCGGATCATCAGCAGTGGCTGGCGCTGCTCGAAGATGCCAAAAACTCTGTGGGAATATATATAAAGCAAGGTTATTGACTGATAAACGTTTGCACTGATAATTGTACACCAATTTTACATGTGAAGTGAGATTAGAATTTTGATAAGCAATCATCAAAAAAGTCTTTTTATAGCCTTCAACTGTGCATTTATTTTTTGGCTGATGTCTCACAATGTTAGAGGCATTCCAACTGGTCATAGATATGATATAATTAATTTGGTAAATTGATTAAACCTGTATCTGTGTATATAATTATCTATAAACCTGGCATTAGCTTTGTTATGCCGTTGTACCTGGCAAAGCGTTTCCACACATTGATAACATTCAAATCAATTCGACTGATAAACTGATTAAGAATTATCTCATTTTTATGCCTGAAGTACATTGTAAGGGCTTGATAGTTTCACACATTTCGTTTGGGAATCATCAGCAATTGTTTACCATATGCCACATATATATAGGTACGATATTTAATATTTCCAAACGTGACCGCACCCAGCCCATATTTATTTGTAGATACACACGATCGATTGACCTTGATAATTGTATGTTGATTTACACATCACTGGCCATAATTGTGTGTATCTATTTATATTCTCTTAATAGGTTCAAAGTGCGCTGATTGGAATTAAGTAACTAGATATTGAATCACACTCACTTGCTGCTGCCGCCTTTGTTGTACAAATCACACACAATATCAAACATGGACTTTTGTTTTAATATCATTTGAGCCATGTTGCCAAAATAGAGCTTGGGCTTGGCAAAGGAAACACCACGCTGCTTGAAGAAGTCATTGTTTGCCGTTGCCCAGCGATAGAACAGCGCAAAGGCAATGCCAAACAGTGCCACAAATTCTAATAACATTTCGCTGATGATCTCAGTACGTGTGTAGGAGCAAGCAGTGCGCGTTCGTTGATTCCAGCGTTCAAACTAGAACTGCGACGCCACCAAACCACTGGATTTGCTTTTATTAGACACCGCGCAAAGCTTTTAAATAGAGCTTTGTGTGGTGTCGCCGTTGTATGAAATCGGGCACCGCGTTTGATAAACATATCTAGTATATAATTTCACCAATTAATCTAACGTACTTGTATGTAGAAATGGTTCAAAACAAAAGCAAAACTCAGCAACGCTTAAGCAATACAGCATAAATCGGATAGGGCTGCCGACTCTGATGCTGAATGGATGATTGGAGCCAGCGCACATTGAGATGACGACAGCTGCGGCGATAAAGAGACCTGCGGAAAACATTAAATTTGCTTACAAAGAAAGAACCATAAAATATATTCATGAAATAGTACCTCAGTTTGTCGAAATCCAAAGCCTTTTCTGCATCGTTATCGTAGAAAACCAAATCGGCTTTTTTTGTTTCCGTTGTGAGGGAACCGCCGTGCCTCACAAATTCATCTTTAACTTTATCCAGTCCGCAATTCATCTCAAATTGTGCCAACAGACCCGCAAATAACTGGTTCTCCACTTTTTTCGAACTGTTTGCCTTTTCCTCCTGCTTTATTTCAGTTTTAACTTCTTTTTTGCTGGATTTGAAATAATCTTTGAGGCCTTTTTGTGATGGTGAAATACTTTCTAGCTTTGGTATCTTGCGTTTGGTCTTCGTTGGCGCCCGACCTGCCTTGTCGTCATCGTCCGATTCAATGGGCGATCTCTTAAGCTTTTTGTTGCTGCTTGAACAGGTACTGGCGGCTGGCTTTATCTTTTGTGGCGTCTTTTCTGCATTGAGCGCGTCCTTATCACAATTGGCCAGCAGCAGATCCACATTTACACTCTTCTTGGAGGCATCGTACAGGTCCTCCAAATGGGCCAAATCATTTGCCTCCTTCGCGGTTTTATCGCTACGCAAACGTGTGATCCTGGGAAAGCGTATAGAGATGCCGGACGCTGTGTGTGCCTCGGACTTTGTAAACTCAGCACCAGTGATCTCCCACACAGGCATGCTTGCCGGATCCTTGGCCAGGACATCGGGCACTAGAGACTTTTTGCACAGCAGCCAATTGGGTATTTTGTTGGCATCGGCTCGCTCCGTTAGCTTCATCAGTGTGTCATGCATCTCCGCGTTGGTGGCATCGTCCAGGCCAGAGTGCACCTTCGTCACAGTTTTCCACAGATGATCGCGCGCATCGTAGCAACCCATCAGAAAGATGCTGAGCACGCCGCCCTTCTTCCCAGAGCCATACCACGCGCCCAGCACCACGAGATCCGCTGTGTCTGCCATTTTACCCTCGAAGAGGTAATCCTTTTTCACCTTCAGCCAGTTGCGCTTGCCCGGCTGGTAGCTGCCATTGGGACTCTTCAGCACCACACCCTCCAGATTGGCATGCAAAACCTTGGCCGTCATCATGGCCAGCTCGTTCTTGGTCTTCAGAAACTGAGACTCGGACAGCTGCACGTGCGATTTCAAGGGTTTGATGTTTTCCTCCAGTATTTTGCGACGTTTATGGAACTCACTAAAAGCAAAAGGGGAAAGCGATTATGCCATAGTCTGGTTGGATGATCTTTTCTCCACTCACAGCTGTGTCAAGTCGTCTCCATCGTAGAGTATGCAATCGAAGACAAACAGACAAACCGAAGCATTGGCGTACGTCTGCTTCTTGTGCGCACCCAAAGTGCCAAATGGCAGCATGGCATCCGTCTCTGTGTCCACCAGTATAATCTCAGAGTCTAAAATCATATCTCCAGCGCCGGGAAAGGCACGCGGTATATAGTCCTTTAGAGCTTTGATTTTGTGATCCATCACAGGCTTTAGGTTGCGACTAAAGAACTTAAATTCGATGCCTTGCTTATGGATTTGCACGCGCTCGCCATCGTATTTGACTTCACCGTACAGCCCGCCGGGACTCTTTTTGAACGCCTCCTCCACAGATTTGCAGGCATTGGCCAGCATGGGCGATATTGGAGTCATAACTTGAATTCCACTGCCGCTAGATCCAATTTTCTTTGTCTGCTTCACTTTGCTGAGCGCCCAGGCCTTGTTTCCTTTGCCCGCAAACTGTTCCACGATGGCTGACAAATCGCGAGACGATTGATACGCGGGATAAGCGAGTGGGCCAAAGGCATCCAGAATGTGTCTGGCACGTGCATTTATGCGCAGATCCTGTTTAATCAGTCGGATGAAGGTGCGTAAATCCAAGTCGGTGGCCTTCTTGCACAGCTCCTGCAACAGTTCCGTTTGTTCATCCTCTTTGGTGCGCTCCTCGAGCTGGGTGAGCAGCCGCTCCACTTCCTGCAAATAGAGTTTGCTTTGCTTCTGCGGTTTGAGTTTGGTTGAGTCAGCAAAATGCTTGCGTAGAGTCTCGGACACGTCACCATCTACGTGGAATTTATAGGAACAAATTATTATTCACATTTTTCGCATCATACAACTAAGCGTATAGCTCACCCTGCTCGAGATCGAGATGCATTTGCTGCTGGTTTGCATTGAAAATGCGTGAAAATAGTTTTATCAGCGCCTTATTCTGCAAATTGTAGACTCGCTGGTTGGCCACTGGTATCAGGAACTGCACCCACAGCAATGTGTCACCCTCGAAACCAGTGCCACTAGTGCCCTTTTCAAAGAAATTCTGTAGTTTGTCCACCTTCTTTAGGTAGCTTGACTCTGCTGCTATTTCATCACAAACGCGCCGAAATGTGTCCAATTTATTGTCCTCATTCTCCGTCTGCTTGCTGCCCATGACGCTGCTGCCAAGACGAGTTAACAACCGAATGTGACTCTTCCCCTTTACCAGTCTCAACATATAATATACAACATCTATATAACAAAATTTTACAGAGAAATGCCAGCACACGTACGATTCGCGTGTAAACAAATCAGGCACATTCGAGTCGAATCAGCTGTTCTTCAGCAAGAACTTTGGCGTTACCAACACTGGCGGGAGAAGCATTCTCTGCCGCTACAATTTTGAAGCGCAACCGCCCGAACGCATTCAAATCCGATTTCATGACTTTAATATACCAACCATACACGAAAACTCCACTGAATGCCAGGCAAATGATGCTCTCCACGTGATGATTGAAGTGCGCGGCAGATACGAGACACGGGAGCTTCTGTGTGGTGCGTTTCTGCCCAAACCTCTGATGTCGAATGGCCCGCAGATCCATATGCAGTACTTTGGAAAGTATCCACCAGAAATGACCAACAAGGTGCAGTATTACGGATTTCGTGCGGAGTACAGGTTCCTAACAAGTTAGTTGACAATACCTATTTTGCTGAATCTATAATCTATTAACGTATTTATAGATTTTGGCATCATGTCGGGCGTCCAACAGGGCGAGGAATGCACTTTCGTCTACAACAGCAGCGAACGCATCAGCGGCCTCTTCCATTCTCCCAATTTTCCTGGATATTATCTGGAGAACGTGGTGTGCAACTATTACTTCTACGCCGGCAGAGACGAACGAGTTGTCGTACATTTTACTTACTTTGATGTGGAGGGCATTGGCGCGTACGTTCACTTTCGCTTTATTTGCTTTTGTGTGTCAGTGTTGACAATGTGCTTTCTTTACAGTTGTGATCACCAGACCGCCAGCGACTATGTGGAGTTTTCGAATTTCATGAGCACAGATCGCAAGTACAGTAAATACTGTGGCAAGCTGCAGGACTTTGAAATGCGCTCGGATGGTCATTTCTTTCGGGTGACACTGCACTCCAACGATCGGTTTGTGGCCATTGGATTTCGCGCCCTGTACACATTTGAGCCGATTCCAATAAATAACTCCAACGCCGATTTGCGGGGCAATGCCTCAATGCAGAGTTATGTGTCTCGTGCACCTTCAAAGCAGGATTTCTACAACTTAGTTGCTCTTATTTTGGTTACAATTTCATTTATAAAACATAATATATAAAAATAATGCATTCAAATTTCGATGTATCTTAAGGGCCATCGATGACGGAACTTCATTATCATGTTATCATTAGCAACCGTGTTTTTAACAGCTAATCACCTGGGCAAAAGTTGCTTTTATATTGTGGAGTCACCAGTGCCGCCATGTTATCAGAGGAATAAATACACTTGTATAGTCTGATCGCTACTAATAACTATTCGGTTGTCGTACACGGCAAGAACACCAGAAGAAGCGAATAATTTCGAACTGATAAGGAATTACTAAGCAACTAATTATATATTCGTCGTGGCTTTGCAGTGACCCCTACACAATGGCAGCTAAGAAATTGGATGCCATTATTTTTGGTGCCACCGGTTTTACCGGCAAATACACCGTGCTGGAAGCTGTGTCCGTTCTCAAGGGCCTGAGCTGGGGCATTGCCGGGCGTAACCAGGAAAAACTTCAGTCGGTGCTTAAGGAAATGAGTGCAAAGTCCAAGACAGATCTTTCGCAGACACCCATCATCATAGCCGATGTGAACAATGAGACGTCACTATTGGAAATGGCCAAGCGCTGCCGCATTGTGGTGAATACTGCCGGTCCATATCGCTTTTTTGGTGAAAATGTGGTCAAAGCCTGCATCGAGGCAGGCACACATCACGTCGATGTTAGCGGTGAGCCTCAATATATGGAATCCATACAGCTTAAGTACAACGATCGTGCCAGGGAGCGTGGAGTGTACGTAATCAGCGCCTGTGGCTTTGACTCTATTCCCGCCGACTTGGGCGTCGTCTTCGTGGAGAAGAATTTTGATGGAGTTGTTAACTCGGTGGAGAATTTCGTCCATTTTGGAGTCAAGGGCGGTACCAAAGGTACGGGCAGCGCTTCCCTCAACACTGGCACTTGGGAGAGTGCCATTCACGCCATCGCGAACAGAAGCGAGTCAATCGCGATACGCAGGAAGCTCTTCCCAAATCGTCTGCCCAAATTCCATCCCGAGCTCAAGCCACGAGCGCCACTATCCATTGCGAATGAGGTGGGTAAGGTAGTCCTGCCCTTCCCGGAGACGGATCGATCGGTGGTGATGCGTTCGCAGCGTTACCTTTACGAGAATGAGAAGAAACGACCGATCCAGATGCAAGCCTACATGTTGTATCCCTCGCGGTTGGTCGCTGGCGTTGTTGTCTTCTTTGCTGCTGTTATTGGAATCTTGGCCAAGTTTTCGTTTGGCCGTCAGCTGCTGCTCAGGTATCCAAGCTTCTTTTCCGGCGGTATGGCATCTCGGGACGGTCCTAGCGAGGCGCGAATGGAGCGCTCCTTCTTTAGGATGACAATGAAAGCCACCGGATGGCCCAAATCACAGAAGCTGGCCGAAAGCACAGACCAGTACTCCACAACACCCTCCAAAACCTTAACAGTACAAATAACTGGTCCTAACCCTGGCTACGGTTCCACCTGTGTCGCCTTGTTGTCCACGGCAAAGACCATTCTGAACGAGAGCGATAAAATGCCCAGCACAGGCGGAGTCCTGCCACCAGGAGCCGCATTTTCCAAGACAAGCCTCATCAGCGAGTTGGAGAAGCACGAACATGGTATTAAGTACGAGATTGTAGCCAACAAGTAAATAGTGTATATGTATTTAAAGCGGGAATTGGATTTTCATAATAAACCACAGCAACAAAGTTAGTTCGAAGGTTTACATTCACCTACATATATATCGCAAATTACGGTCACACTGTGCATATCGCTGTTATCGGTAGAGGTATTCCACTCTACTTTTTCAATCACATGGTTCAAAAAGGAATTTCTATAATTTAAATGGTCTTTAATTTGATTTTATTGTCGGAAATTGTTTTACAAGTTTTTACACCAAATGGTGACAGTATTTTTCATGCTTTGCAAGTTCGTACACCAAATTATTTGTTATAGTATTTTTGGGCGGTACAGTATATATTTGCCTACCATATTCGGTCACACTGACCTGTTTTTACAACTACTTTTTTGTTTACCTTTCCTCACTACCATTTTGGACGCCAACGCGATATTTAAAAATTATGAGTGCTGAAATATCCGGCTTTCGCCGATTTATACATTGGGGCCCAATCACAGCCCTGAGTAAGTACGACCGAAAGAACCATTGGCCCGTCTAAAGAGAGCAGCTTGCAGTTTGTGGTCAGCAACAAGCTAAAAAGAAAAGTTTGCAAATTGGCTCAAAGTGAAGTGAATGAACTGCTCGGGGGACTGGACAGACAGACGGCCACAAAGAGCACATAACAAGGCTTCAATTACTGTTTCTAAGACGTGGGTGGGTCTTGCAAACGCCCACACGGCAACGCCCGCGTTTTGTATATGTCTGGATCGAGATATCGCGTTTCAAATTGCTATGATGGACGGGTCATAGAGAGGGTCCGGCACGCCACACATCCGTTGCACGGAGCCACCAATCGAGTGTCACAGTGCCGGCAGCAACTTTGCCTTTTAATTTCCCTAATGTGCTGCGCTAATTGTGTTTTAGTTGCATGTATTTTCGGTTTTAATTTCTTCTTTTTCAAAGTGTCGTCGGGTTCTGTGCTATCGGAAATTTCACGCAGGCCAAGTATAGCGTGCAAATTGACCATTTGGTCCTTTGGCGAGGCAGAGACGGTGAAACGACCGTAAGACTTCCGGTTGGCAGTACAAGTAGACGGAAATTTTTGATATCGAATTTGATGTACTATTGTAATTGTGTGCCTTCAGCCTTAATGTCTAAATTAGACGACGGCTGCTTGTTGCTGGCTTATGGCCAGGAGTAGGGATGGGCCCTGGCCAGACCGGAGGCACTCATTGCTGGGGCGCGGTTACGCTTAATCAACTGAAAAGGTTGGCCATAAGCGAAATAATGAGTTTCATTTCCTATACACGCAACGAAGCGAAGAATAACCCACCACCAGGCTCAGTCCCTAACTCTGGACTACTCTGAATAATAATAACAAATTAAATTTTCCCATGTTTAAATTGTTTATCTTTTATTTGACCCGTTTTGCAGGCATTATCAAGTGCATAACGCTGACAACGCTCTACATGAACTCGATGTGGTGGCCGCCAAATGAATCATTCGCTGGCTTTGCCCATCAGGCCTTGTTCCTAATGCTCTCCACACTGGCGACATTCAATTACGTCATGGCCACACTGACAGGTCCCGGCCTATTGCCCAGACAGTGGCAGCCAAAGGTAAATAACAATAATAGAATACATTTTTGTTGTGACACGATTAAAGCTGGCTTGGAGGGGTGTTTCCCGAACACCTGTTACCTTTTTGATAATTTCCAACCACCAATTGGCGCCCAAAAAATTGTTGAACCGACACGAACTGTGGACGATTTCGTGGTCCGCATTGTGCATCGTCATTCTGTAGCGGAAGTTCTTGTTTAGCACACAAATGAAAGGAGAAAGAGAACCGAGAGCCGAGCCAGGGGTGCCATCAACACTTGGCCGTCACTTAGGGATTTTCTTTGCTTTATTTGCATACAGACAAAATGGGCCAACAGCTAGCCCTGCTGTGGCGTGTGTTTTTCCTTATCGCATAATTCGCGTCAATTAATCTGCAATTTATTTTGGAAGATTTTAAATTCAATTCCTCACAGTAGGAGAATCGCGTAAATGTCGTGCTGGTTCCAGGACACGAACCCGGTAACGCTCGCCGTTTTTCGGCGCACATTAATTTTTTCCTTGGCCATGACGCGGTGGCCCACAAATAATTTATGGAGCGACTTAACGGCCATGCCCTGCACGCGAACGCAGTCCAGTTCGGTTCAGTCCGGGTCCGGGTAATGCAATTACCTGAAATTAGCATAAATGTTTTGTAGGCAGGTCCCAGACACACAAGAGGGGCGGCAGCTAATGAGCTGTGCGTCGTTAAGTTTTCTGTTGTAAGCCGTAGTTTAGCGACAGGGTGCATTAATCACGCATATATACATATATTTAATATCCATATTTTGCAGGAGCCCAAGGACACAGAGCACCTGCAGTACTGCAAGACGTGCGAGGGCTACAAAGCTCCACGCTCCCATCACTGTCGCAAGTGTAAGTCGAACATCCCTCCCAAAAAGCCAGAACTGTTATCATTTCTCCTTTTCCACATAGGCAACCGTTGCGTCAAGAAGATGGATCATCATTGCCCGTGGATCAACCATTGTGTGGGCTGGGCCAATCATGCCTACTTCTCGTACTTCCTGCTCTTCTCCATATTGGGCAGCATGCAGGCCACTGTCATCCTGTGCGGCTCTTTCTATCGTGGAATTTATCGCTACTATTATCTGACCCATGGACTGGTGCACCTGGCCAGCGTACAGTTCACAGTGGTCAGCATCATAATGTGCATCACTGGCATGGGCCTGGCCATTGGTGTGGTCATTGGCCTGGGCATGCTGCTGTTCATTCAACTGAAGACGATTGTCGCCAATCAGACGGGCATTGAAATCTGGATAGTGGAGAAGGCACAGTACCGGCGCTATGCAAGTGGCGAGGAAGTGGAAAGTTTTATCTATCCATACGATCTGGGCTGGCGGCTCAATCTGAAGCAGGTGTTCAATGACGAATGCCAAAAACTCGGCGACGGCATCGAGTGGCCCGTGGCACAGGGCTGTGATCAGTACACATTGACAGTAAGTGTGGCCAGGCGCAAGACAGATGTTGAATATTAAATCCCGTTTCTCTTATCCCTCCACCAGCGAGAGCAGCTGGCACAGAAAGAGGAAAAGCGAGCCCGGACACGTACCTACAAGTGTCATAGTCCCGTTACGGGTCGCTGGCTGCCCGTTTGCTCACAGGGTTGGAGCGTATGCATGGGTGCTCCCTGCACGGATGAGCCGCGTATTCGCCTGCAGCCAGGTGACATAATTAAGGTGACGCGCTTTCGCAAGCATTGGCTCTTTGGCGAGCGGGAACTCACCAAGCAGGAGCTACGCGGTGACAAAAAGCATCAGCGTAGGGGACATACGCGTGGCTGGTTTCCACGTCAAAGCGCTGTCGAGCTTATCGAGGTACATGAGTGCGGCGGCGATCCTGGCAGCGACAATCTGACCGAGAACGGAACATGCAACGGAGGACATGCTCAACTAAAGCAACAGCAACGCAATGGACACGCCAAGAAGTATATGTAACCCGATCAATCGGCACAATGTACACATCATAGCAACACACAGTCGCCCCAGCTTGTACATAGATTAGAAAACGCTTGAAAGACATTCGACTCTTTCCGCTTAAACCAGCTGCCGCTGCCGCTCCCAGCCCCCCCTATCCTCCATCGCTCTCTCTCTCTCTGTCGTTCACATTGTTAACACTGTTGGCCAATAAACAAACGCGAAACTTGATATCAATCTGGAATTTGTGATAAGCGATTACATTCCTAAATGTGTGTATAGCGTGTACAGTGCCTGAACTGAGTATAAGCACAGCAATTACTTTTCACTTGAATGCTGTTTTAAGAGATTTTCCATTGCGACCCACAGAATCTCAAAGGAAAAGCACATTTCATTGTTCAACACTTAAACAACCGTAAATTTAAATGGTTTTTAAATGGCATAGGAACACTGTAGCTGTATAGTTGCAAATTTTAAATTCATACAAAATTACAATTAATTTTCGATTTTATCGATCATATCCCATAAGAAATGTATTTATTGGTTAACCATAATTTGATTATGACATTATTTTAAAAAGATAGTGTATACTGTGTGCATTATATACCCCTCCACCCTTCACTGAGCTAATCGGAGCTCATGGTTGCCTCGATTTCCTCAACGGTCCGTGGCACAATTGCAAAATTCTCGTTGCCATTCTGGGTAATAAGAACATCATCCTCGATGCGTACACCGCCAAAGTTGCGGAAACGATTGAAGACATCCACATTGATGAATTTACTTAGTTCTGGATTGGCCAGAGCGCCGTCCATCAGTCGCTTGATGAAGTAGCAGCCCGGCTCAATGGTCACGTACATGCCAGCCCTGAGGACACGGGCGAAGCGCAACTTGCTCAGCCACGGCTCATTAGGCCGCTTTGGTTCAGTGGGCAAATAGCCACCCACATCGTGCACATCCAGGCCAATCAGGTGACCCAGGCCGTGCGGCTGAAAGACAGCCGAGAGTCCAGCTTCGAGCATTTCATCGACATCGCCCTGAAGCATGCCACCCGCCTTGAGACGTTGCAGCAATACCTTGCCCGCCAGTTTGTGCATGTCCACCCACGACACGCCATCGCGTGCTGTCGCGGCCACCGCGTTGCGAGCATCCAGCACAGCGTTGTAAATGAACTTCTGGTCATCCGTGAACTTGCCGTTGGCCGGGAAAGTGCAGGTTATGTCTGCCGCATAGCCGCAATAGTTGGCTCCCATGTCAAACAAACACATTTCACCATCCTGAATGGGTCGGCTGTTGGGTGCGCCGGCATGGCCATAATGCAGAATTGACGAATTGGTGCCACTGCCGCAGATGCATGTGTAGGAGGCATGACGGCAACCGCCCACGGAATAGGCGTGATGGAGGAACAGTGACTCCCCCTCGAACTCCATCTTGCCAGGACGTATAAACTTCATGACCCTAATGTGTGCATCCGACGAGACCTTGGCCACATAGCGCAGAACTTCGATCTCCTCGGCAGACTTGATGACTCGGCATTCGGACAATATGGGATAGAGTAGGTCGCAGTCTGTCACATACTTTTCCTTGCCATCGAACTCGGGCGGCTGCATGGTGAGGCCGCTATCGCTGTTGGTGCCACTGAGCGTGAGTATCAGCTTGGGCGCTGCCTTCTCCAGATAGTCCGTGAGTTCATCCAGATAGTAAACCTCATCCACTTCGTACATGGCCTTAAATTCAGCTGGTGAAAGCAGCTCGCCCATCCAAGTACTGTACTCCTCGGGTAGGCGCGGTACAAAGAGCACACTGGCGACGCCCCCAGTCCGTACGTTGATAGTGAGGATGCCGTAGCAGCCGGGCTCCTTGGCTCCAAACAGATACCGGAAGTATGACTCCTGGCGAAACACATAGTCCACGTCGGTGTTGTAGAAACTCTTATCCTTGCCACCCTCCAGCAGCACAAGCAGGTTGCCCGAATCAAACTTGAGGTTATTCTGAAGCTGCTGCAACAGAGCTTTGCAAACGCGATCTCTATTGTTCTTAAACAGGGTCATGGGCACTGCGTAGCCCGATCCCATTTGAAAGGCTGCCATGTTGATGCGACGAGTTTGGAATACGAAAGTGTAATAACTGTATGGCTGCAATGGGCTTTTCTACCCACCCCAAGGCGATTAGCAATATCTGTCAACTGAACAATAGCCGCTGTAAATTAAATGTTTATCACTTTGCTGTTGTTTTTGCCTTTGCTTGTTGTCAACCGCAACAGGCTACATACATAAATACCGAGAACGCAAAATACTAGCACATGTCGAAATACTTTTGTGCAATCGAATAAACTAATAAATAAAAAATCTGGATTTCCTTTTTTGCTATCGAAAATACCATAATGGAAAATACTAGAAATTGTCGATAACTTTTCAGAATTTGTCAATCTGGTCACACGTTAAGAATTTTTTGCGAATTTCATTTCAATAAATTTTGAGAAGAATTACAATTGAGTGCTAGAAAAAATCATTTAAAGTGTGTTCCTAAAGCAATATGTTCTAGTACGTGTTCATGGTGTGGTCTTGCAACTATAGTGTTACATATTAACAACTGTTTCCGAACGCTGACCCGGATTCGGATGTCGGCGTCGCAACGCGGCGGGCACTAGCAAAACAACAAATGTCTCAAAGCATTACGAAGACCATAGAATAGAGCACTGAAAACGTTGTGTGGGCCAAAGTTTTGCAATGTGTTTGTAGTTGACCATCCCACGAATAGACAGCACAATGTCTAGTTCGGTATTCGTCGAGGCACCGAGTGCCAGACGAGCGGCTGAGGGAGATTCAAATCTGGTTGTAGTCTACAGCAAAAATGGCATCTCTTTTGATGAGCGTGCCATGGAGAACCTCATGGGTATGGACACTTATGGTTAAATAACACTTACATGCTCCACTACAATTTCATTTCTTAGAGGAAAAATCGATTGCAACCATCAGCGTGGTGCGAATCACTTCGCCCACGCCTAGCATGGTGGACCAGGAGGAGGCTGAACGCTTAAAGGAATTAGAGCAGTTCCTAGATGCGGCAACGGACACTGAGTGGGACAGCGACAATGGGAGCCAAAGTGGCGGCGATGACGTCAGAAGCGAGGTGGACCACAATCCACCCGATGATGACAACACCGACGACGAGGTCAACGATGACTCTACAGAGACCGAAACGGAGGCTCCCAAAACAAGAAAGCGTCCCGGCCGCAAGCCAAAAGTAATCAAAAAGAAGAAGCGACGCAAACCAAAAGAACGGCCGCAGATTGTGGGCCTGCGTGTGGAGCAATTCTATGCCGAGGGCACTGCCGACATTCTCGTTAAGAATGCGCTAAGTAAGTATCAAATAAATAAACAATTATTTTTGGTGTCGCCTAAGGTACGTTTTATTCACAGAGCTCGCTGGTTTGTCCATATTTAAGAGGACACCGGAGACGGACGCAATGCTGGAAGCGATCAAAAACGATCACAATTATACACCCTTCACGTCGCTGGAGCAAATGAAACTCCACAAGAAAGCCGAGAAAATAGCCATGGAAAAGCAAGCTCAGAGTCGGAAAATCGTTATGCAATCACCTGGAAATGTGAAAATAATCAATGCAAAAAAACGAATGCAGCCCATGCCCTTCACTCCATTGCAAGCCAAGGTCCACCGACTGCCCGTTCAGCCGCCGCAGCAGGACCAGCTGCTGCTACGCAAGCACCAGCCCCAGCCGACGCCGACACTGCCACTGGCCCGAGAGCGGCGAGAAATTGTTACAAACTCTATGCTAAGTGCCAGGGCAAGGTCTGGGCGTAGCATCGTCAAAGTAATGGCTCCCGTGGAGGACAACATAGAAGATGATGAGGAAGCAGAGAGCTCGGATCCCGCAGAAGACGAGAATGCCGACAAATTGTACGATACAGATGAGATGAGCGAGGAGAGCGACGATCTTCAGGACACGGACAATGACAGGGACAGTGATATGGACTTCAAGATGAGGCACGACAGCCGCAGCTCCAATAAGCGAAAGCGGGCGAGAAAGATTAGCAGTAGGACGACCAGACAGTCGAGACCCTTGCCACCACATCCTGCAACGCCGCAGCAGCAGTTCCCCGAGCTCAAGCGGCGCAAGGAACAAGTGCTACTGCGTAGGGAACAAGTGCCGCAGAGTGCGCCGCAGCGCAGGGAGCTAGTGCCACAGAGTGTCGCGCAGCGTAGGGAACCAGTGCCACAGAGTCTCGCGCAGCGTAGGGAACTAGCGACCCATATTACGCCGCAACGTAGGGAACCAGTACAACAATCTTCCGCGCAGCGCAGGGAACCATTGCCACAGAGCTCCACGCAGCGTAGGGAACTGGTGCCACAGATTACCCAGCAGCGCAGGGAGCTATCGCCACAGATTACCCAGCAGCGCAAGGAGCTGGTGACACAGACTGGAAGGAAGGAACAAATGCCACAAACTGCCACACAGCGTAAGGAACAAATGCAACCAGCTGCAACGCAGCGTAAGGAACAGCAGAGTGTGCCGCAAATTGGACAGATTATTCAACTGCCAACCACAAAGGCGCCGCCCACTGTGATACCATTGGGCAGAGGAATCACCACCACTTCATTCCTTAAAATACGACCAACCCACCAGACGCTGGCCATGAGGAAACCACCGCTGTCCAGCGAAGCGCTCGGACTGGCGTCTACAGGAGGCAAGGTGCGTCGGACGCCACTGGTGCATGTGGGAAAAGTTGTAAATACTTCAGCGCCTGGTGGCTACAGTACTCCGCCTCCTCAGGACGTGAAGGAAATTATAATCAACAAGAACACGTCTAGCCCCAAGGGAGTTTTCACCAATCTCAACAGTTTGCTGGGCGAGAATCATGCGTCGAACATGAAATCTTCGCCCGATCCACACAGGCAGCGATCCAACATGTCGCCCGTCACTCCGCGTTCCAGCTATGTGGCTAATGTGCAGCAGTCGCCAGATGCTGTTGCAGTTACAGTTCCTGTACCAGCCAAGGGCTTTATGCCCATCGGCGTGGGCACGGCTCAATCTCATAAGCTGCCCTCACAGATTGTCATCGAAACGCATCAGAGCTCCTCCGAGCTGGCTGCCGAAAATGACAAGCAATTGGACCTCATCGATTCGATAGTGAAGGATGAACTACTCAAGACGACGCTCGTCGAGCAGCCAGCAGTCGTGAATGCGGATGAAAATATACCAAAACTGGTCAAGATGCTGGAGGGTACGGCATCGGTGCTGGATCAGGGACCAGCAGCAGCAGCAGTGGCCGCCGCAACAGTATCAATGCCAGCAGTAAAACAAAACGAAATCTTTACGGACTACGGTCAACCGGTGGTCACTCAGGGTCTGTTGAATGCTGTTGTACCAGTGGATGATAATGATGCCATTGACTTGGACACTGCCCGCCTGTTGAATACTCCAGATGAAGATGCAATCACCGCTGACTTCCTGCAGCATGTGGTTGGTCTGATCCAAGAGGATAAGCACTTTAAGGCTGAGGTGGAGCAAGTGCTGGCCATCGACGACCCTGGCGGTCTAGATGCGATTATGTCTCTACCTCCACCTGTTGAGTCACTGGTCCACCCAGCCATCCTCCACACGTCTTCCTCTGAGGTAAGATAAACCCATCTGTTCCCTTTTGGACAGGCCCTTAACTCTAAGTCTCTGCCTTACAGCCACATCCTCCTGCAGTTCTCGCCGAGCACAGCCATTTGCCAACCCCCATGCCCATGGCCTGCAGCACACCATCGAGAAGCAGCGTAGTAACCGCTCCAGCATCAATCGGAGCACAAATGTGTCCCGAGGGTAAGGTTGTGCGTGGCAATGGACGAGTCATTTACCTCCCCCCCATAGAAGCCCCGACAACACGCGCGAAACGCCGCGCACAATTCACGCCCACAAATTCTTCCGCCACAAGTTCGGGGGATCTTAATCTGAGCAGTGTGACGATTCTGGACGCCACGTTGGACAGCAGCAGCTTCAGCAACGAAAGCCAGACGCCACACAAACCTGGAGTCATGCCAAAGCGTGCCAATCCAAGAGAGCCATCGTTGGCCAGACGCTCGACTGTGCCCAGACGAACGAAGAAGTTAAATGCGAGTCAGTCGAATGACACCGAAGCCTCAGAATCTCAGGAGGATGATGATGACCCAAACAAGTAAGCAAATTATTAAAGATATTTAAAGATTAAGTCAATGTTAAATGTGTGTCTGCTCTGCTTTTAGGCTCTGGTGCATTTGCCGTCAGCCACACAACAATCGGTTCATGATTTGCTGTGACTTGTGTGAGGATTGGTTTCACGGCACCTGTGTGGGTGTCACCAAATCCATGGGCATTGAGATGGAGCAAAAGAGCATCATGTGGAAGTGTCCCAAATGTGTTAAAAAGCAGGAGGAAAAGGTAAGCGCAAAATTAATTACATTTTCCATCAATAACTCGCTGATTGTTGCATTCCATAGAACCAACCAAGGATTACGGATATGTTTATCATGAGGCCGACCATTCAAACAGAAGAAACCTCGAGTGAAACCAAAGTTTTGACGGAGTCTGTTGCTCCACAGACCAATCGAACGCTGCCATTGGGCGTTACTGTCGCCAGTGCGCCGTTGCGTAGTTCCTTAACCAAGCGAATGCCAACCAATCAACAGCAGCCGCCGGGTAAAATGATGCTACAGAAGCCACAGCAGCAGCAGCATCAACAGCAGCAGCATCAACAGCAGCAGATACAGTTTGTCAAATTAGGAGCGCCGAGTGCCACCAGTTGTGTGGTCTGCAAGCGATTGACAGCTGGCTCCCAGTCTGTTTATTGTAGCGATGAATGCATACGAAAATATGCACAAGACGCAATCCAGGCGCAGACGTCTGCCAAGAGTCCCGACAGTCCGGTGTCGCCGATGTCGGTGGACATGCAATCAGCACAAATGAATTCCACAAACAGCGCAGATTCAGCCAAGAGGCACAAAAAGAAGGATCTCTTTGAGGATGTGTTGCGTCAGGCAGACGCTGTGTCGAAAATTGAGCGGGTACAAAAGCTACAAGCAACCGACTCGATACCAACAGACTAAACAAATTCTAATTATTTCAGATAAATGTGATTGAGCGTAAGAGTGGGCGTGTCATTACTGGCCACTTGGCACCCATAGCACAGCACTTCAGAAAATGGCTACAAGACAATCCCACCTTTGAGGTGCTTCCTTCGGGTAGTTTTCAGTCCCTAGACACAGAGGTAAGCTTAAATGGTTATTATTAGATTTCATGCGCTCACTCATATGTTTGTCTCCTTAGAAGCGTCAGTTCAAACGAATTTCGGATACCCCAGCGACGCCCGGGACATCCGCAGCGGTTACTAAACTGCCCACAAGTGCAACGAAAGTCCAACAGCAGCTGCGAGTAGCCACACCACCCATTCACGCCCTGCCCAAAAGAGACAACAACAAACCGCTGGCCCATGTGGTTGCGCCACGATCTCCCAACAAGCCCGAGCCCGTACGGCTGAATGTGCGACGCACGCTCAAGGAGCAGCTGCTGGCGCGCATTAAGGAGGCACAAGAAGCAGAACCGGGCTCAAGCTCAAGCACTACCACGCAATGGCTGACAGCCATCGAGGCGGAGCAGTTCGTCAAGAGTGTGGAGTCGGAAATGTATCATTCGTTTGGTTGCGATGTCGGTGCCAAATACAAGTCGAAATATCGCTCACTCATGTTCAATATTAAGGATCGCAAGAACAAGACGCTGTTCGAGAAGATCTGTGCCAAGCAGGTGGAGCCCAAGCAACTTGTGGCCATGACGCCCGAGGAGCTAGCCAGCCAGGAACTTGCCAAGTGGCGTGAGGAAGAGACGCGTCATCAGCTGGAGATTATTAAGAAGTCAGAGCTAGACATGTTGTCCTGTACGCAGAACTATGTGTTGAAAACCCACAAAGGGGAGCAGGAGATTGCAACCAAATTGGATGTTACTCTGCCTGAAGAGTCGTTCCTGGAGTCGGACAAAAAGAATAACTCTCAGATGAGCGATCACGACAGTTCCAGCAAGGATGTCAGCGTAGAGCATGCCAGCTCTAGGGAAAAGTCCGGTTCGTCCAAGGAGAAGCGGCACAAGAGCCACAAGCGACATCATCAGCACAAGAGAAGTCGCAGTCGTTCGAGCAGTCAAACGCGCAGCCTTGAGAAGCGACACCGAAGGCACCACAACGATGTGGAGGCTGGCGGAGAGCGAACACACCGTCATCACGATAAGCAGCGTAGTAAAGATCGAGATGAACGTATTCCAACGCCAACCAAAAGAAGAGAGGAGAATGACCGAGCAGCCTTACCTAGAGAAAAGAAGCCAGAGGAGACCAGAGGAGGCACTCGCCATGCCTATAAGCTGATTGATAAAACTCTTGATTCTACAAAGACCATGGAAAATTCTCCCAAGCAGCAGCAACCTGTCAAGTCTATTTCTCCAACGACAGTCGCTGCAAAGGCTGCCACTCCTGCAGCCTCGCCAGTTAGTCCGGTGGACAGCTACACTCGCTATTTGCAAGGTCTGCCCAAACGAACGCTGTGGTCCGGCAGCCTCAACATGATAGATGTGGCCAACTTCCAGGTGGTGGCACATCCTCTTCTCAGCAATTCGCATCAACTGCCCAAGCTAATGCCCGTCAAATTAGATGTGATTGGCCGCATAGCACGTCTCAATGTCTGGGAATACATCAAGAAGATCAATAAGATTCCAACCAAAGAGGTTGTCTTAGTGAATCTGTTCCCATCCGGACCGAGTGAGATTAAAAAGTTTGATCACTTTTTTGAATATCTGGACTCGCGGCAACGGTTGGGTGTGATTCAGGCTGAGGCGGATCAGATTCGAGACTTTTACATCTTTCCGTTGGGATCAAAGGATAAATTGCCAAGTGTGCTGGAGCATATCACAGAGCTGGTGCCCTTCTACGAGGACACGGAGAGGCCCAATACACTGATGGGGATTATGGTTCACTGTCTGCCAACGCCTTTGTCTGCTCCCGCGACCAGCAGCAGCAGCAGCAAGGCAGCAAAGGTAAGGAAAATGAAGTGTCCATTGACAAAAGGAAGCATTACTGTTCAAAGCAGACAGAAAATATTTATAATAAATTTAAATTAACATATTCGCGTATTTTTAATTGTATATTAAGGTATATATTAGATATGCTCCTCTAAACACTCTTACACTTTTTATATTAAAGAAGTCACGCAGCACAACATCATTTACACCGCCAAGTAGTCCCAGACGTAAGCCGAGCAATCACTCGACCAGCTCTAAGGATGACGAGTTCGATATTGATGCCATCATCAAAGCACCCATTGCAAAAATGCGAAAGAGTAAGCACCACAAACAACAACAACAACACACTGTGTATCCATTTACTTACTTGAAATCTTCCAATGCAGCTGCAAGTATACCGCCAGCAGTGCCAATGCCAGCGTTGCCAGCTCTGAAAGATGACGCAAATGAACCATACTCGCCAGGCGGTAGTTCCGGCGAAGAATGTGTTACGGCGCCAGCTCCTGCCAGCAGTCTGGCGCGACAGATGGATGAATTAAACAAACAAATCGCTGCACAAAAATTGGAAATTGAGGACCTGCTCAATGTGGAACCTTCTGTAAGATATTCATTGACATTTTCCCAACACAATTATCCTCATTTGGGGCTTAATTTTTTTTTGCGCAGGGATCTGCCCTATCCAGAATATCGTTTCCACCAGATCTTCCAAAGATCCTGGCTAGCATTAAGGACAAATCGGACTCTGCGGCGAAAATTGGCGACAGTAAGGACTACAATCCCGAGGATGCAATAACCACACTCAGGCCATATGTAACGGGTAAGACTGCAACAATCAATTCGATATGAGCGAAACGTATTCATTTAAGTTATTTATTTTAGCAGCAACGACTAAGAGCAAAGGCCGTTTGGCGTGTCTAAGTGAAGCTGAGCTTCTTAGCATGGTGCCGGACAATCTGGTAGACTTGGTGCCACCCACAACGTCAAAGAACCGACTTCATAATCCCCCACCGCCGAATACTTAGGGACAGAGTTTGAAAATGATACACTACTCCGTAGTCTTTCGTTTTTCTCATACTTTGAACGAAGCCGTAGCAGAGCCATAGCTGAAAATTTAAGAAGCACTTGCTCTGCTCTGCTGTAGTTGTTTGTGGAGCAATATCCATTGCAAAAAGATAAATCACGTGCTCTGCGTTGCCGGAGCCAGCTCAAAGCTGGCTTCTGGGACGTTTGGTTCTCACTCATCAAGCGCGGAGCCAGCATATCGGTGCCTTATGAATCAGTGTGCGAACAAACCGGACACAGCATTGAAGCAACAACAAAAACACCTGAGAGCCGTAGTTTACCGTAATTTTATTTGTTCTGGGCTCATCCGCTATTGCTCCCGAAAAAACTACACCAGATCAGATTGCGGATATGGCTATACAGCGGCTATGTTCAAAGTGTGAGCCGGTTGCGAGTGCTGCTTCGAAGTAGTAAATGCGAAAGCTGCTTAGGGATGCTTTCGAAATTATTTTAGTCTAGGCTTAGACGCGAATTCTTGTACGAGTATTTGTTGTTAGTTTCGAAAAAAGTTCAATATTTCATTTGAAATTATATATTTCGCCCTGTCACTCCCATTCACGTGTACATTCTCATACAGCAGCGATTTGAATACCATTTCTGTATTATATATAGCTAGCAATTGGAACAAATAGTTCTACCTGTCCTTAACAGTGAAAAAAAAAACATTAGGAATCGGTTTTCAAAAGCTTATCCAAACTCCCTTCTCTCCCCATCAACAAAAATTGTACATTTCCTCGAAAATAAAAACCAAAACTATTAAGTAAACTTTTGTTTAAGGATATATGATTTATGTATTTATCTGTATTACTGGGATTACATATAAGCTTCGAATAAATGCAACTACATAATTAATTGACCTCACACGGATCGTCCTGGCTATTGAAGTGGGCACACGAGATCTTCGGTCCATTGTGGATACGTGGAATGGCTATACGAAAAAGAGTTCCCTGTGGCATGCACACGCATATCTTATACTGGACACTGCCCGTCCGAATGCCCAGCTCGGAGCTGACAATGGGGATGCGATCCATGTCCAGGAATACACCAGTGCCAGCCTCTAGCACAGTAGCGCCTTGGGTGGAGTTAATGGAGACGTGATGCTCGGCTTGAAAATCGATACTTTCGGCATCGAAGAACACACCCTCGGATCCCTTGATGACAATGCGGCCATCGCTCTCCAAATTCAAGGGCACGTCAATGGGACTGGAGATGCCGCTCGCACTCACCACCTTCGCCTGCAGAGCATCCACACCATCCGGGATGTTGTACTGGGGACGATGAGTGGTAAAAATGGATTGCCGATCGACGGGATCTTTTACATCAAACACATTTGTAGCATCTATGAGAATGGAATCCTTGTCAACGACGATGCGGTCGCGCTCACTGGCTGCACCATTTCCATTGCGGAAAACGCGCACATGTACGCCCGCATCGGTCTTGTTGTTGTTGCTCATATCACTACTGATGGTCACTGGCACATCGGTGAAGCCATGCAGCCTACCAATTGAGTTGGTATGAAGGCGCTCCACATCGGTTGAGCCATAGAACTTGACGACATCCACCTCGGGAATCAGCTCCATACCTTGTACACCCTTGCCCAAGCGCAGGACACCCACAATTGTCAGCGTAAGAAGCAGATTGCCCACAGTCAGGGCCAGAAGTATAATCACAATGGTCCAGAAAGCGAAGGAGTTGCGCCCATGCTGGCCAGGGTGCAAGCGCGAGCAGCTATCGCTGTCGAACTTTTCGTCAAAGTAGTCCACGGGGTCCGTCTTGGGATCATCATGGAAAAAATCATTATCCTCAACTGCTTGTCCAATGGGCAGAGTCAGCGACAAAGCATTTTCAGAGTTTGCATCATCGGAGTAGGACGGTGATGGACCACGAAAAAATGTGTTTTCAAATGTATTCATTTTAATTATGATATTCGGGGCTCTTGCAAAATAGTTTCTCCAGTAATATGTATCCAATGATACTAAAATAGGTGCGTGGGTACACATAGACGAGTCTTTGACATGCGCAGACAAATCAATAGGCGCGTAATTCAAACATTTATTATGGATATTTACTTGGATTTGCAGGACAGATAATCTGATATAATAATATTATTTAAATTGTAACGTTCATTAAAGGGATTAGGGTGTAGATAGGGTCCATACTTCATAAATATCTTTGTTAATATGTAGTAATTGTGAAAATACCATGTAGTTACTATGTACAAAAAATGACCTTCTGTCACTAACCAAATATATATCAACTATTTGGTTAGTGCTTCTGTGTTGAAACCTTTGTTTATACAAAATACAATAAAGGGGCCCTTTGTTATTAGCCAAACCATAAGAAACCATTATAAGATCAGTGTTGAGAGTCCCAACTAGCTTGTAATATTAAAATGGAATATACAATTTCAGGAATATTTTTGTTGGGTATTTTTCGAAAAGATAAGGTATATTTCGGTATGTTCCGCGTTCACAATAATAGCCATTTTTTTTTACTTCAAATCCACCGCTTCTTTTCTGGCGCCGCTTTGTTTTTTGTTTATTAAAACACGAAATTAGCATAAAGCTGGGCGTGCAAACATGTCGCACGCCGTATTGAACGAAGAAACATTGGAGAAGCTGGTGTACGAGCGCTCCAAAAACTGGGCGAACATGATACAGGTGAGGCTTTCCTGTTTTTCTGCTTTGCGCTCCGAATGCTAAGCGATTTTGTTTTTGCAGAACTGCATGGAAATCGACGATGGCGATGAGCTTGATCTGGACGATTTTGAGGAACTGTTTGAAGGCGAAGACATAGACCCCGATGTACCGGAGAATGAGGAGGCGGAAGAAGATGCCAGGCAGGAAGAGGACCTGGGCATGGGGAACATTAATACAACAATAGCCATGAGCAAGGCGGAGCTGACTACGATTTTGTGCTCTGGAGAGAACAAATCTGAAACAGCCGAACTAGAGGAGATCCTCAATCAAACGATGCCCGTTCTACAGGAGCACAATCGCAAGTGGAAGGCAGCTGGATTAGATCAAATACTTGACACCTTCGATCCGCAAAAGATCGAACAACATGTGGGCCAATGGATGCGCCGCAACAACAGCATCTATCTGGAGGAGGAGAATTCCCGAGAGAATTCCCGAAGGTACGATTCTCATTCCGATGAAAGCGACAACGAGTCGCCATACTCCAGCAACACCGCCCACTACATAATTCAGACTCCCAGACGCAATGCACCCAACCCCAAGATGTCCAACGGGTCGACCATTAAATTGTATCGCACTCATCCACGCAGGCGTGCTGACGACCGTCGTGGCAAGTACACATATGAAGAGCAAGAGCACCGCCGTCACATGCAGGTTTTGCTGCAACGCCGTCGTGAAAGGAAGCGAAAACTGGCCTACATTGCCAGCACTTCCATGCACCGTTCCTACAGCAACCGCAGCCATCACTCGTATCTGCGTAAGCGACGCCCCGATTCTTCGTTGTTTGGGTCGCCGTCGAGCGGGGAAGATGTAGCCTTAGCCGGCTGCGATTGCAAATCTTGCCAGAGACTTTTGCTGACCAGAAGCGCATATGAATACTGTCCATACCGCGGCCGCCGCGAATATCATCACCAATCAGCATCATCACGCTCCATGCTATGTTTGCGACATCCACACAGCTTTCGGGAGGAGCTGGAACTGCGGCCACGACTCATGGAAAACGAATGCAGGTGCTGCGACAGCGACCGTCTGTGCACTGACGTGGTGCACATTGCCAACAGCTCGACGGAGGAATGGGTTGTGGATAATTGCAACAGTCCCGTGCTTATGGAGACGCCAACCAAATGCAGCAATCGTCTGCAAACCTGCAGAGAGAAACATTTAAGGCTGCGAAAAGCACCACAGAGCGGTCGCTCGAAGTGCAGCAGTGACTGTGCCATGCGTGAAACTCCGCATAGAGTGACTAGAAAGGCAACTTCCGCTGGAGCATCATATACTCCAGGGCGTGAGCGAACCAGGCTAATGGCCAGAAATTTAGTGGACAGCGACACTTCCGATGAAGACGAGCGAATGGAGCGCAATAAGCCAGCAATCTCATCTGTAGAAAAGGCGCCCAAAAAAAAAGAAAAATCAACAAGACTGCCTCCAATCAGCGAAAATGTGGCCAAGACAAAGCCTAAAGAGCATCGCCACGAGCTTCAGGCGATTGAAACGGATTCTTCGGATGACAACGAACTCACAGGTAGGAGCCGTTTAATGAGTTTCTCGGAGCGAAAACAGAAAACGGTGGCCAAAAATAAAAAAGCGGTGAAAACACCAAGCAAGCCAATGTCAGCTGTGAAAGAGACACCAAAAAAGAAAACTGTGGTGTCCGGACAGACAAAGAATTTGCCTGCAATCGGCGAAGACGAGGCAAAGGCAAAAGAATCCTCTACTTTGCCGGTAACCCTCAACGAAGATGAAGCCAAGCGTGTGAAGGGAGTGACGCCAGATGTAAACAAGATGAGCCAAACATTCGCTAAGATTTGCATAAATTCCCAAAGTGAGCAGCCAACTCCCAACTCTGATGCATATTCCAAGAAAATTGTAGGAACAGAATCATCAGTGATAATGTCCACACCGGTTGCGTCCAAGGAAAAACGAGTGAGACCCAAATCTGCTGCCAAGAAGAAAACAAATGCGAAATCTGCTTCAAGTTTGCCTCAGATCAGCGAAGAAGCAACCGATTTCCAATGCGCATCCAATAAAGGAACGGCAAAGAAAGCAATTTTAAAACCAAAACCATGCACCACTCCAGCCAGTACCAGAAGCCCCTATGAATGGCCACCGAGCACGTCAACAAGTAAGAGCAATTCGAAGAAACTAAATGAAACGGATGAGGAAATAACCCGAGCACTGGCCTTGTCAAAGGAAACATATAGAAAGGAGCAGTTGATGCGCCGACCAGACCAGAGGTCAAAGGTGAACCCACAATCGGCATCGCAGGAGCAGTCTCTCTTCCATAACAACAGCGTGGCCTGCAACTCCACCGCCCTGGCCAATGATACGGCCAGTACTCGGGTCCTACCCAACAAACTGAACGCTAAGAATCGTTCTGCCGTGAGCAGCTCGAAGCAGGAACCCAAAATAGATGAAATTATTATACTTGACTCATCCACGGAGAGCGTCGCAGGTGAGGAACCAAACAAAGCGGGCGGTGAGGCTGACTGCACTGTGGTGACATCGACAACCAGCTGTGAAACAAAAGGGGCAAAGCCGTCACCACTTTTCATCTCCAAGAGGGGCATCCTGCTGCACAGCAGCAACACAGCAGGATCGGAAACCTATACGCTCACCGAGCAGGATCTTGGGCGGGTGATTGGAGAACGACGTGCCAAAAAATATCTCAAGTATCACATTGGCAGTCGCAGCTACGACAGCCGTCGCTCGGTTTATTATCGCCCCACACCCAAGCTGGCGTCCGCACTCAGTGCCAGCCCGGACACTGCCCATACTCTGGTGCACGAGTTAGAGACCTCCAGTGGGTCTTGTTGCAGCGACGATGACATCTTTGAACACATGGAGCGATACGGGGAAGTGTACAGCGTTCTGGGGAACCCCAAAGATGATTGATTTCGCAGTATTATATATGTATAACGTTAAGTTTAACCAAATGATTTCAATACTTGTTCCTTAGTTCGAATCGTTAATTTTTGTGTTTGTTTTCAAAACATCCGATGAAGAATTTTAAAATATTTTGGTTGATTTCGTTCACGTAAATTGAAACATCCACTAATTATAATAATACAAAATATTAATAATAGTCAATAGTCTATCGTAAATGTGTTCTTAAGTATTAAACCTTTTTTAAGTCAACCTGAGCACTAACCAAATAGTATAGGTTATACTATTTGGTTAGTGATCGAGACATTTAAATTGGTAATATTGGTTATAGGATATACTGTATATTTGAGGTATATTTTGAAATGGAAAATGTATATTTCTGAGGGTCAGTGCGGTATATTTAAACGATAAACCCGCTGTCACACTGATATGTTTCTTTTCCAAGATGTCCTTTAAGGTTAGTTGCTAATAAATACATATTAACTATATAACTAAAGCGATTTGTGTCCAACAGCCAATTGACCCAAAACGAGATGAGATCCGTCGCTATCTGGAGCGCGGCAGCGTTCTGGATTCGCTCACCAAGGTCTTCATACGCGTCATAAAAGAGCGGCCTGAAAATCCAATGGAGTACATTCGCAACAACATTGGTGCGGTCCGCCATCAGCATGACAAGTACGAGCGGCTTCAGGAGCAATTGCAGTCGGCCAACGAGGAAATAGAACGACTTCGCGGCATTATTAACACCATTGACCCGGAGGCTCTGGCAGGACAAGCGTCGCTCCACTCGAGCGAGGTCTTCGACGAATCTGTGCTCCAAAATGTGGCTACAATTGAGGCTGCTATTGAGAACGTGGGACCACATGGTGGCGAGACGGTTTTGCCAGAGCCAAACGCTGTAACTGAAGAAGCTGCAGGTGCAAGTGCAGGTGCAGTTGCAGCTGTGAGCAACAGCGTTGAGCAGCTGACTGCCGCTGTGGAAGTTTGTCAGATCGAGGAGAAAATTGTTGCCGCTGTCGCAGAGGCTGCAAATGATAGTTCAACCCAAAGCCCATCCGTCCAGGCTGAAGCCAGTAGCACCACCGACAATACCGAGTAAATCTCACATCTAACTCTCACTCAAAACACATTCCATGCGAAATGAAATCATCCATTTAGAACATGTTTAAGTATTTTCTTAAATGTAAATAAACTACAACATTAAAAGCACTCACAATATGCTACATTATGGATTTTTCAAATATTTATTGAAATCAGTTTCATAATACATATTAATAATAGTTAATTTTTAAAAAAACATCCTTTAAAATGATAAGAGAATGGATAACCGATAAGAGTGGACAAAAGTTCTACAAGTATTTTTTGTTGTTGTGTGGTCTGTGGCTCGCCTTGCTTTGCAGCAAACACGGTTTGGGGGCAAAATGGAAGTGGATGCGAAATAATTTTCATTGATTTTGTATTGACGTCGGAGTGCATGGCGGGCGCGTCGTCGTCCCTTATCATTTCATCAAGCTGCAGGGGTTGGTGGACTAAAAAAAACCGATTTTCTTCTGTTTCAATTTGAAGGTCGAAACTTAAGTGTTTTCGGTTCACTTTCTTGGCAAGCGTTCTTCTCTTTTTTATCATTTTCCCTATTTTGTTTCATCTTTTTGTTGAATGTTTTAAGGCCAAAGAGCTTTACAGGACCCCTTCTTCTATGTATATGTTTTGTCCTTTGACCGACTGAATTTCAGGCGTCAAATATGTTCCTATTTCTGCTGGGAGCTCTCCTCTCCTTCTCCTCTTCGGACCTGTTTAATCTGCAGGTGTGTGTGTATGTAAATGTGATTGTGTGTATGATCGTATCCCGTTATACGTATTTATATGGGATTGGGTTTTAAAAATAAATATGTTTGCTTTTAATTATGTTGTTTGTCAATTGTTTGTTTTGTAATTGTTGATCATATCTCAATTGATTAAAACTCCATTAGATGTTTGTCCAGGAGGTCATTGGTTCGTCGGATTGGACTATGTGTGTCTGTGTGTGTATGTGTGTGTGGTTGTTCGATACTCTTCCCCTCTGCAGGTGTGGCTGCTGGTATGTAGTTGTTTCGACTTGGCCTGCCTACGCTGTCGATAAAAAATGACCAAGATAGAGAGATAAGTGTTCAGCTGTGACGCACAATAGGGTTCTGCTTGGTTCCCACTTACGTTCAATCCACGATCCGATGGGTTCTAAGCATTTTTATTTTCTCTTGGGTTGTTTCTTTTGTTTTTTGTATAGAAAAGGATTTGTTAGGTTTAAATGATATTACTTTTTACGTTTATCTGCTGGCTTCAGGATCTGGAACGAGCACATCAGTGTGTCGTCCACGGACATCATGGCGCCAGCATTATCGAATTCACCGCAGTAATTTGGTGCCGAAAAGAGGGTGACCAGTTGACGCTTCGCGAAGAACTCGTAGCCATCCTCGACCACCTGATGGGCACGGCAGATGAGATCGAACTCGTGCTTCTGCAAGAATTTAGCCACCACTTCGGCTCCGAATGTGAAGCTCACGCCGCGATCGTTCTCTCCCCATCCCATGGTGTCCTTGTCCGGATCGGACCACAGCAGATCGCAGAGCAGACCCTGATCCGGGACATCAGTGGGGCGCATAATGCGACGGATTTGCTCCATCGAAGTCAAATCTGGACTCAGACCGCCATGGCAACAGAATATCTTCTCATCCACAATGGCAGCCACGGGAAGACAATTGAAGCAATCGGTGAAGGTCTTCCATAGCTTGATGCTGTAGCGGCGCTTGCACTCGTCGTAGAAGCCATATATGCGGTTAATGCTGGCACACTCGTGGTTGCCGCGCAGCAGAAAAAAGTTCTCGGAATATTTTATCTTGTAGGCCAGCAGCAGACAGATGGTTTCCAGCGATTGTTTGCCACGGTCAACGTAGTCGCCCAAAAACAAGTAATTTGACTCCGGCGGAAAGCCACCATATTCGAACAGGCGCAGCAAGTCGTAATATTGACCGTGAATGTCGCCGCAAATCTTCAGCGGGGCCTCCAGCTCCAGCAGAATGGGCTGCGAGAGGAATATCTCGCGCGACTTGAGGCAGAGCCCACGAATTTCGCCCTCAGAGAGCTGAACGTTTTTGCCTGGCCGTGCCCCACGCACTTCCAGAAGACGTGATATTATGCTGTCTATATTCATGACATCGGCCATTTTTCTGTTTTATATTGTAGCGCTGCTCCTGAGTATTCCAAAAACGATGGATAGTAGGGCCGAAATAGCTTCGAAATATTGAATTTTTCAAATCTATTTCCGCAAAATACTTTTCACAGCTTACTAGTATGAAAATTTCTCCAGTGTGTCCACACTAGCCACACAGCACACACTGCAGGAAGGAGCGAAACGAGTAGTTAGTCATGCTGTCACTCATGCTGTCTCGTTTGCGTTTATTTGCTGTTTTGGTGTGAGCAGGACGACTAGAGCTTCACAGCTTACCAGCAGTGGGACCGCGGAACTATCGATCAAATATACCGCAAGACCCTCAAATATATACCAAAACATACCTTCTCTTTTTAAAAAAATAGCCTGTAATCTAAAATTATATATCTCGATTTTGATGTTCTATTTGAAATTACTAGCTAGTTAAGAGTCTCAACGCTAGGACTATAAATTTATACGATTTATCAATCAAATCTCCACAAAATTGGCTAGTTCAAACGACTTCTATTTATTGGAATCTTTCCAGAAACTAAAAAGTTCTTCCAACAAAAATAGCATAAAACGTTACGTGAGTGGAAATGGATTGTTACGTATTTGACAATTTGTTGCTTGTCAACCGGTAGTTAAAGTATGGAATGTGCATTGTTATACCCTATTTCCATAAATTAATATAAAAATTGCATATTCAAATCTGCTCTCAAACATTAATAATGTCTTTATCTTAGACTGACATGTTTTTAATCTTTTTTTAATCTCTCTATGTATTTACATTTACAAAATTTCGTTGAGATAAATCTCTAACACAGATTGACTTTTTTGTGCATTGATTGTGGACTGAGGAGTCCCACATTTCCTCAACTCGAGGACATCCTTTCCACCAAGGATACTAAATGTTGAGATGAAGTGTGTCCACACTAGCCGCTGCAGGACTAAGCGAAACGAGTATAGTCATGCAGCCACACACTCATGTTGTCTCGTTTGAACTTATTTGCAGTTTTGGTGTGAGCAAGACGACTAGAGTAATAATTATTCGAGCGCTGCCAAATCAGTGAACAAAGGTGGAACAGACGCCATTTTATCGTATCGAACTATCGACAAGCCGCGAAATCCGATTAGCCCCACGCCCCACTTTATTTCAATTAACTGATAAATTAAGCTAATCATATTGTTCCGCCATGCTCTTACTGGACATTTTGGAGAAAAAGACAGACGATGGTGTCTACATAATAGCTGAAATTGGCCAAAACCATCAGGGGCGCCTGGAGGTGGCCAAAAAGATGATACTAAAGGCCAAGGAAGCAGGATGCCATTGTGTGAAATTTCAAAAATCAAATTTACCAGCAAAGTTTACACGGTCCGCACTGGCACGCGACTATGTGAGCGAAAATGCTTGGGGCAAGACGTATGGAGAGCACAAGGAATATCTGGAGTTCTCCAAAGAGCAGTACCAAGAGCTGCAGGCTTACAGCCAAGAATTAAATTTGGATTTTACTGCCTCCGCAATGGATGAGGTAAATAAATATTTTAAACTTATATATTATATCTGTTAGTTCTTCCCCTTGTTACAGCTCTCTTTGGACTTTCTGGCAGATTTAAAGGTTCCATTTATTAAAATTGGTTCCGGGGATGCCAACAACTTTCCGCTGATAAAAAAAGCCTCTGGCCTCGGGCTACCCTTGGTCATCTCCACGGGAATGCAGACACTCCAAACGGTTGACAAGATTGTCAGCATAATGGAGGATGCTGGTAAATCGGACTATGCACTCATGCATTGTGTTTCGGCGTATCCCACACCACCCAAAGATTGCAATTTGCGGCTGATTTCCAGGCTGAAGCAACGCTTTACCAATGTAGTCATTGGTTATTCCGGACATGAGCTTGGTGTGGCCATAACCCAGGCAGCTGTGCTGCTGGGCGCCAGGATAGTGGAACGACATTTCACCCTGGACAAGAATCAAAAAGGTTCAGACCATCGTTGCTCACTTGAACCCCTTCAACTAAAGTCTTTAATTGTGGCAATTGAAAGTTTTAAACTCCAGAAACTGCCCCTGGAAGCACATGAAATAATTGCAATGTTGGGTAATGGTCAGGAACTGGAAGAAGCACTCCGTTACACTGGAGAAAAAGAGATTTTCCCCTGCGAGCTGCCATGTCGAAATAAGCTTGGAAAGTCTCTTGTAGCTGCTCGCAGCCTGCACAAAGGTCAAATGCTTCAATTGAAGGATGTGGCCATCAAAGTTAGTGAGCCAAACGGCCTGACTGCCGAGACATATTTCGATATAGTTGGCAAGCAATTAACATACAGTGTCTCTGAGGATGAACCCATAACCGGGAACATGGTACAGTTTTAAGTCAATACTTTAGCACTTAATACAGCGCGTGCATTATTAAATAAACGTCTAAAAAGTAATCATATTCGCTGACTTATTCGGCTCCATCTTCGCTGCCTTCCTCCTCGTTCTCGTTTTCGATCATCTCAATGTCCTCCTCGAGGTCACCCTCCTTCTTGTCCGTTGGCTTCTCATAGACGGCGGTGAGGGGAGACACGCATACTCCGTTCCATACTGACATTTCGCGTACTATGCTGGTGTTGCCCTCCATGCCGAGAATGTGCTTGTAGCCGCCGTGTGTCAGGACACGAAGCAGAGTCTGGGCAGTGTAGCAGCAGAGGTCCTGCTGCTCCAATGTCATGGCAGTGTGCACGCGAATGTGTCCAGGCTCTGTGGGATCGGTAATGCCTGCCGATCCGGGCAGGAACAGTCCAGCGGAGAGCAGTTGGAATACGCGACGGAAAGCCAAATTGATGGGCAGAGCCTGCCGCGATGGATTGTTCATAATTGCCAAATGAGCTATCAAATCGAGCATCCAAGCGGAGAGTGGCGAGAAGGCGTCAAAGCGCTTGGTGAGATCCTTCAGAATTCGTATGAGAACTTTAATTGACGAGTGATGAGCATTCTCCTCGAACCAACGAGTGTGCCTGATGGCAGCCAGATGGTTCTGCATCAGCTTGTGGTCCATGTGGATGTCAGCCTCTAGTTTACGCAAGTTCTGCGGCAATGTAGCAATCATAATGCGCACCTTGGCCTGGACATTGGACACATCGAAGCCCCGCAAGTGAGTTTGAATTGTATGCTGGTCCCCCTTGGTAAGCACTTCAGTCTTCATGCTTGTTTTCAGATCGGCCTCCACCTTTTTCGACAGAGCCTCGACCGCCTCCTTCGTAGGCAGCGTCTTTAAGATGACCACAATGTCAGCCACATTGTTGCCTGTGAGAATAGTTCCCTTCTTGAAGGATCCCACTTGGCGCACCTCTTCCAGTTGCTGTAGGAGCAAGAAGAGACATTAAGATCCTTGCTTTTCGTTCGATTTCCCATTAACTTACACATGTATTAAAATCTCCAGGGGCAACAACAAGGTTATCCAGAACAGCCTGAACTTTGGTTACCAAATTACCAATTGCTGTCTGTTCGCTGGCAGTGGGGCTCAAGTCCTGGTTACGCTTCAGCAGGGCCTATAAACATGGAAATTTGAATGGTTGTAAATACATGTGTCTATGCGTATGTGTGTGTGTGTGTATGTATCGATTTACCGCAGTCAGAGCAGAATCATCTACCGCCGGTGCTACTTTGGGGAAAAATACTTCTGCCAGAGTTAGGTCGAATGGATGACGGGGAACAAACGTTTTCTTAAATGGCGGACGTATGCCTCCTCTCATGGGCCGGCCACCGCGGAGCGATCCACGCACCATGTTTCTCGGAAAATGCATTTTAAATTATTTTTGCAGCGACAGAGCGTTGCCGACAACAATCGGAAGGGTTGACGTAGAGCGGTGTGACCACAAATTTTAATATACCAATTATACCATTTTATACCGATAAAAATACCTCAATGGCTAGTACATTTTTGACGCAGCGTCCATTGATAATTTTCTGCATATAATTGAAGTGAACAGTGAAATATTTAATAAACTAATAATGGGTGTTGAAGTGGACAATAAAGAACCTGCAGTTGAGCTGACTGAAGCTGAGACCGAGCTTTATGACAGGCAAATTCGACTTTGGGGCCTTGAATCGCAAAAGCGGTAAGTACGGGCAAATGCCGGCTGTATGGCGGCAATGCGGCGGAATAACAAAATGATGTTTTATTTGTTTCCAGCCTACGCACTGCAAAGATACTCATCTCCGGGCTGAATGGCTTGGGTGCCGAGGTTACAAAGAATATTATTTTGTCGGGTGTCAACTCGGTGACGCTTCACGACATCCAGGTGGTTACTGAGGAGGACTTCTGCTCTCAGTTCCTCGCTGCACGCGAATCTCTGGGCAAGAACCGAGCGAAGGCATCCTTGGAGCGTGCACGAGCTCTCAATCCCATGGTGGATATCTCTGCCGATACTCAACCGCTGGAGGAGAAGGCAGCCGAGTTCTTTGGCACATTTGACGTGGTGCTGATCATTGGTCAGAGCAATAATGAATTGCTGCGAATCGATGCCATTTGCCAAGAGTTGGGTGTGAAGTTCTTCGCCGGTGATGTTTGGGGAATGTTTGGATTCTACTTTGCTAGTCTCCAGCGCCATAGCTATGTCGAGTAAGTTACCTTGCTTCTAAAAATGTATTTTAAAGCCTAACCCAACCTCCATGCTTCCAGGGATGTTGTCAAATTCAAAGAAGTGGAAGCCAAGCCCAACCAGAAAGCAAAGTTCGAAAAATATGCTGTTCCAGTTCAGCGCGAAGTGAACTACCCTGCATACTCGGCATGGATTGATTTCGATGCAAATGCTGCCGGCTACCAGCGCCAATTGAAAAAGGACGGACCTGGCGTGATCCTGCTAGGCGTTCTTCAAAAGTTCCGCACCGTACACAAACGCGACCCCAGCTACAAGTCCAGGGAGGCGGATATAGGCTTACTGAAAGCAATTCGAGATGAACTGGCCCCAAAATCTGCACTAAGTGACAACTCGTTGGAGGTTCTCTTCTCGCAGATCTCGCCAGCAGTCGCTGTGGTGGGTGGCGTTGTGGCACAAGAGATCATTAAAGTGGTGACCAGAATGGAGGCTCCCCACCGGAACTTATTCATATTTGATCCGGATACATGTGCAGGATACGTTCAAGTCATCGGAGGATAATTCAATCCATTAAAAATAATTTTGCATTTCTCAAATCATTTCAAATAACACCACGGTTCTAATTTTATTTGTTTTTTTAATGTCCCGTACTCGTACAAAAAGCTTAGCTTGGGGTTCCTTATCGATTTTATGGGTTGCCTAACGCTTAGGGGATGTTGGCCAAATAGTCCTTGATGGAGGCAGGGTCCAGACGCTGGAATCCCTTCTGATCGCAGATTCCAATCTCAATGTTATCCGCAGTCATTTTACCCTCAAAGCCTTCCTTCAAAGTCAAAATCGCTGTGTGAACAGCGTCTTCCAGTTCAAGATCCTCGCTGTAACTGCAGGGGGAAATCAAACGAATGATGAATAAATCTTAAACTTGGTTTAAAGCTCACTTACCGCTTCTCCAAGAAGGTTTTGCCATTGACTGCATTCTTGCCCATGGCAGTGGCTTTCCAGGCAAAGTAAGCGCCCGATGGGTCAGACTGGTAGAGATATGGACGGTCATTGTCCCAGCCACAAATCAGCAAAGATACGCCAAAGGGACGCACGCCACTAAAATGAGGACAGTAAGTACTCGAAGCAATTATTCAGTTTGTTTCTCTACATACCCGGATTGGGTATACTCCTGCATGAGGGTGGCCACGCGCTGCACCAGCTGTGAGACGGGAATCGGCTCCTTGTATGTGAGGAAGTAGGTCTGAGCGATTTTACGGGCCTGCTTCACAAGCAGGCGATAGTCGGGACCCATTCCGGAGTACACCATGCCTATATGCTTGTTAATCATTTCCACGCGGTGCACACTGTGCTCCTCATACAGCGGCGACTTGTGTTTGTTCTCTGTGGCAATGACGACACCATTGGAAGCTAGGAGAATCAGACCATTGGAATCAGAATGTTCATTGTGCAATATAGTGAAGTGCATGAAGCCTTACCCATGATGCCCACGGAGGGGGCGCCGCCGGATACCGCCGCCAATGCATACTCCAGCTGGACCAGCTTTCCCGAAGGACTGTAATGCAGCAAAAAGTTGTGTTTATGCCAGTCATTGTTGTAGGTTAAGTTTAGGAGGGAAATATGCGGCATTGTCAATGAATTTATTGGCCTAGTTACCTGAAGGTGGTCAGCGAAAAGCTATAGCGTTCACTAGCCATATTTATCGGCACAACTTCAAGTAATTTATATAGAAAAAAAGGAAAGCCGACTTTTTTTTTGCACAGAAAAAACACTAAATGACACAGCAAACAATGTGACCGCGGACTAAACAGTCTTGTCTGCCCCTCAAATATACACCGAAATATCAAAATCAATTTCGACTTACAAATATACCGAAAAGTATATAGTTCCTAAACATCGAACTTTTTTAACCACCATTTAAGAAGTTTTGAGGACGAAATCGAAGAAATTGCAGCAACCATCAAAATTCTTTATACTTCCAGGAAAGAAACAGTGATATTACGTGAAAAAATTGTCAACCGGCGTCGAAGGTATCTTCGAGGGCAACTCACAATCGTATAAATATGAAAACCTTTGTGGTATATTTTAAAAAAATAGCCATTCCCAAAAAAGCTAGCCCTTGCAAAGGGCGGCAACCCTGAATCACGACTTTTGTTGAATTGTTTTTACGAACTTATTTAATTTTCCGGTAAGCACATAAGCCAATCAAAGTAAATTTGCAATATATCTAACGCCACAATCCGACAGGACATGCTGCGCAAATTCGGCAAACTACTGGGACAGCAGGTGGGGCGGCAAGCACGTTTCCCCATAGGCCGCACGCTGGCGACAACAAACGCGCTGCGTAAAGGTAAGCACGCCATGACATAATGGAAAGCTGCACTTTAACAAATATCTCTGATTTTGCAGATGCTGCAGCCAAGACAGAGGCTGCCGCGGGGCCACCAAAGAATATACTTGTGGAAAAAGACAACAACATTACGCTGATTGGAATAAATCGACCACAGCAGCGCAATGCCATCGACTCAATTACCGCCTCGCAGCTTTGCGATGCCTTTGCCAATTTCGAGGCGGACGACGCATCGCCGGTGGCCGTCCTGTACGGGGTGGGCGGATCGTTTTGCTCTGGCTTTGATATATTGGAAATGAGTACAGATGAGAAGGAGGAGATCAGCGTTGATATACTTATGCGTCCCGAAGGCTCAGTTGGGCCCACGCGTCGCCAGATCAAAAAGCCGGTCGTTTGCGGCATCAACGGCTACTGCATCGCCAATGGACTGGAGTTGGCACTAATGTGCGACTTGCGCGTAATGGAGGAGTCGGCGGTTTTGGGTTTCTTCAACCGTCGCTTTGGAGTGCCAATGCTGGATGGTGGCACTATTCGTTTACCAGCCATGATTGGCCTGTCTCGTGCTCTCGATTTAATACTCACGGGTCGCCCCGTAGGCTCACAAGAGGCCCACGATATAGGGCTGGTAAATCGCATAGTTCCCACTGGCACAGCACTGGGCAATGCCCTGGAATTGGCCACTTGCCTGGCAAAGTTCCCACAACGCGCTTTGAATCATGACCGCAACTCGGTGTATTCTGGCGCCTTTGAGACGTCGACGTTCCATCAGGCAGTGCAGAATGAAGTAATGTACACGTCGCGAGAGATAATCGAGGACATGCAAAACGGCATCAAGTGGTTCAATCAGAGTATGAGACTTACCAGTCATAAGTTTTGCACAATTTAATTACTTTTTTGTTCCAGCCTTTGAGCCAGACACCACACACTCGTGGCTGAAGCGCGATCGCTCGATGGCCGACTGGGATGATGAGGAGGTGGCAGCTGCGGCTGCGACCAAAGAGAAGCAAAAGCAAGATGAAGAGGCCGCTCGCGCTGAGGCCGAGAAACAAAAGCTGGCCGAAAAGGCTCAAAAAAAGTCAAAGAAAACTGAAGAAAAGCCAGCCGAAAGCAGTGACCCGAACATTGAATCGAAAGAAAAGCCAAAAGAAACATAGTTGAAACATAGTTGCGCTTTCCCATCGTATGCTATAGCGTTGTACATATAACACTCTCATCAACAGTTTGAAACTGATCCATTTGACCTTGTTTACTTATTAAAATACAAAATTGTAAGCTGATGCCGCAAAGGCGTATCAGCTCTGATCACTAGAGAACTGCTTCTGCTGTTGAATCTTCTTCGATTATGTTATCAAGCCCAGCTATTAAAGCGCTCAAAATGATGATGTTTATTGTGAAAACAATATGCCAACTAACCACCACCTGATGGATGATTCACTGAATGTGTCGAGAGTCTAGACATATTTCAATCGTTGCCGTTTATCACCGGGTTCGTATTCTGAACTTTGCGCTCTGTTTTGTTGCGAGGGGGCGAATTTACAATCTCGATACGAATTCGGTTACGCTTATTTGAGCGGCTGCTAAAAATACATAGGAATCATCTCTATCACTGAAATGTGATCATGTTAAGCTTCGAAAAGTTCTTTAAGAGCAGCAGTTGTTGGGCGTAGCAGGAATAGTAGGAACTCATTGATTCTTGGTGGAAGATCGCTTTGGCAAAAACAATTACTTTTCCAGCATTTTGTATACTCAAGTAAATTTCCTGATTGCTGATAAAAACCTTTTGGTGAGTGTTTTGTTCAAATTATTCATGGATGCGCAGCATCAAAAGTGTAGCGAATGTACCTTTAAGTTCTATAGATTGTGAAATAAATCTTTTGAAAGTCGTACTGGGGATACTGGCACTCCTGGCAACAGTTCTAAGACAGCTACGACTCAAAACGGTTGCAAGGAGCGCTCAGTTCAAAAATAAAAGTTCAGCGGCACATTCAATTTAATTAAATAAAAAGCAAAGTAATAATTCAGGTACAGTAAACATTTTTGCACATTAAAAGTCGCGCGTTTTAGTGGCAATCTTCGCTTTTGCGGGTGTGAAATATTATTTAAAAAATCAGGTGATGCTAAAATCTGATGTTCCATCTTGGCAAATTTTTCTTCATATATTTATGAACTTTTCTTCGCTGGCTACAGCCTTAGATCTGGTCTTTTTATACCCGGTACTCGAAGATTAAATAGGGTATATTGTATTTGTGTGAATAACGGTTGTATGTAACGCACAGAAGGCACAGAACATATATATTCTTGATCAGCATCAATAGCCGAGTCGATTGAGCCATGTCTGTCTGTCCGTCCGTCCTTGTGAGCGCCTGGATTTCAGACACTATAAGAGCTAGAGCCACCAAATTTTGCATTCAGACTCCTGTATACTAACACTGTTACAAGTGTATTTCAAGAATGAGAGTTTATATTTTAAGGCCCCTTTGGACTTATTTTGTAGTTGAATCTGTTAAGAAACGATACCAAAAATCAGGCCTTCATGGTCTTTTCAGCATCTATTATCTTCTGATATCTCTGATACTCGCCTTCAGTCTTTGTGCTCGTGATATTTTATAATCAACATTTGATTCAGTAAAGTCTCTATATGTAACATGTACAATGTACATGCGACCTGAATGCATTTCAAATATTGCAATCCATACTTAATATTTTTAATGGCGAATCGATAAGGAAATGCAAGCTTGTAAAAGGTGATGTTATGTGATCTCTATTCATTACAGGAAAGGCGACATGCCACCAAACGCCGTAGGACTGCCGCACACGTTACCAAAGGTGCCTGTCCATAGCGATCTGCTAAAGGAGAACAACATGGAGGACAAGTCATCCAAGCAGACGGGTGTGCTCTTTGAGGGCGATGTGGAGACAGCCGATACTTTCCAGTTTAAGAAGGCCGAGAGCCGCCAGTTGCAGTGGGTCTGGCGTAATATTCTGCTGTTTGCATATGTGCATTTCGCTGCCCTATATGGTGGCTACTTGATGCTCACCCAGGCCAAGGCTGCCACCGTGCTGTTCGGTAACCAAATTCAAATCAAACTTTATGCAACTCGAAATTGAATCCACGAATGTTATGTAGCTGCCGCTCTATATGTTTGTGGCATGTTGGGCATCACGGGTGGCGCACATCGTCTCTGGGCCCATCGTTCCTACAAGGCCAAGTGGCCGCTGCGCCTAATATTGATCACCTTCAATACGATTGCCTTCCAAGACGCCGCCTATCACTGGGCGCGCGATCATCGTGTGCACCACAAGTTCTCGGAGACGGATGCCGATCCGCATAATGCCACACGTGGCTTTTTCTTCTCGCATGTTGGTTGGTTGCTCTGCAAGAAGCATCCCGATGTGGTGGCCAAGGGCAAAGGCCTGGACCTGTCCGACTTGCGTGCCGATCGTATTTTGATGTTCCAAAGGAAGTGAGTGTGCGAAAGAGAAAGGGAAATTATAAAATCTCATAAATAATATTCGACTCTAGGCACTACTATGTCCTGATGCCATTGGCCTGCTTAATTTTGCCAACTGTCATACCATTTTTCTTTTGGAATGAATCGCTGTTGTGCTCCTGGTTCGTGGCCACCATGTTCCGTTGGTGTTTGCAGCTGAATATGACTTGGCTGGTCAACAGTGCAGCACACAAATTTGGTGGTCGTCCCTATGACAAGTAAGTTTTACAAACAAATTCATTGAATTGTTAATAATAAACGTGTACTTTCCTTTATAGAACCATCAATCCATCGCAGAATGCCGCGGTGTCGGCTGTCACCTTTGGCGAGGGCTGGCACAATTATCATCATGTCTTCCCCTGGGACTACAAAACTGCTGAATGGGGCAACTACAACCTGAACATGACTACAGCATTTATTGATATGTTTGCCAAGATCGGTTGGGCCTATGATCTGAAATCCGTCGCTCCGGACACCGTTGAGAGGCGTGTTAAGCGCACGGGCGACGGCACCCACGAGCTGTGGGGCTGGGGTGACAAGGATCTCACCGCGGAGGATGCCAAAGATGTACTATTTCTTGATAAGAAGTCGGAGTGAGCTCCACAACTACTGTTCCCCCTAATCATTAACAGTTAACAATTTAATTGGCCATTTATAGATGGTGTGTGATAATGTCAGTTATTGAGCGATTATACTAAATATAAATGATTTTGTTTATCAAAGAGCTGTTCGAGTGATTTTTATGCGTGGTGTGCTGGTAGTGTGCTTCTCTCCTGATTACGTGCTATTCGTGACGTGGTGTTCCGACCCAGCCGGCCGGCACAGTTGCCAATCGTGTTGTGGTGTGACGATTCCGATAAGGCTATCGCTGTGTCTGTAGGAAAGTTTAAAAAGAATGGAAAAAACGTCTGGGAATACCAATCATAATCAATGCTTACATTTAGGCTCTTGTCATTGTTCTTTTGATCTCCTGTGCACGCAGCACGATGTTGGCCAAAGCCTTGGGGGACACCCCATCCTCAAGTAGCTCGAGGCACAGATCAAGTGCTGGCTCCGACAAATTTGTTTGCATCAGAGCAGACATGCCATTTAGAGCCAGCTTGAGGTGTGTTGAGTCCTTCACACGTTGTCGGGGCTCCATTGCCGGCTCTGCAACTTGCTCAGGTGCTGCTTCCCACATATTTTTGAAGCTGATAAAACCTTAAAAGATTTACGTTTAAAACAGTATTTGACAATTGACAAAAAAGGCAAATGCTACTGCTGCTAAACACGAATGACTGCCATGTCATGATCCCCCTTCGTTCATAGAAACTTTGTTGTAAAAGTGGAAAAGCTTTAGGGGCGGAAATTCCTTGAGATCCACCAGGCAGGCCAGAGATCCCACAGGAGGCATTTAATGTTTTAAATATTTCATCCAAAAGAAGATAAAGTTTGCTATAGGGTGCGCATAAGCAGTGATAAATCAATGCATAATTTATTTGATGAGTCTCCATGAGCCCTGTACCTCTGCGAAGACGAAGAATGAAATGTTATAAGGGGGGTATTAGGGGTTTTCCTTCGATTGAAATGATTAAGAGGCTAATGGCCAGTGTGATACTATAATACCTAATCGGACACGCTATGACGCATCAACAGCCTGTATGCATCAAATACATTTACCCTCTAAGGGACAATTGGCATCACGCGTTCATCTCTCATCTGATTAGGGTTCTGTAATTTTTCCAATTGACGTCCAATGGAATATAACGTGATCCACGGGATCTGTTGATCTCAAGGAGATTGTAAAAGATTCAAATGTACTTCTTTTTAAAAGGTCAGCGATGGTCAGTGCCATTTCCAATCCGCACTTTGTGCTTTAGTTTTTGTTTTGCAGCAAGTGCAATGATGAAGCTGTTCAAACTTTTATTTGCCAGCACTAAAATATAAATATTCAATTAGATTGAAAATAGCCAGATGCCTGGTGATTTTGAACCCTTTTACCTTGCAGGTTTCTATCTTTTGTCTTACTCATGCAATCATAATCAGTCCCAGAATAAATTCTCTTCATGCGAAAGTGAAAACCAAGATATGTTTAACTACTTAGGGGGCGGGGTTTTCACACGGTGGCATACACTTATCAACAAAACAAGTGGTCAGTGACAAGCCACTTATCAAGGATAATACCTGGGCAAAGTCCCCTAGAAAGTTTGTGAACTCTGGCCTTGTTATTGTCCAGGAATTTGACGTCAAAGAACGGAAATGAATTACTTAAAATGTATAAATAATCCATGATGTTGTTTAGCGATAAAATATGCTGATTATGATGCGCGTGCCCCTGCACCGACCATTGAAATTGAAAGTAATCTGGATAGCTGGCATTTTGTTTTGTTGGTGAGTGATATTTTACTGTAAAGTACATGTACACTGGACATGCGATCTTTATTATTGTTATCATCGTCTGGTCGCGTGCCAAACGATTCAATTCACAAGGGTTATCGGTGTTTTTTCTGATTTAAGGACTGATAACCTTCACAAAGTCGCAAGCAGCTGGGTATGAATGATTAGACGGATCATGGCATGCATACCCTATATATTCATATAAAGAAATTCTGTGCCCAAGACATAGCTTAACCTTGAAACAATGTTCGTTGTTTACTCCAAGAGTATGCAGAGACCGTCCATCTGGTCAACCAGATGCTTATTTTCACACAAATTTGTGAGTCAACAAAAATGGTATTTAAATTATTAAAAATGGCCACCAAGGCCGTTTTATTCGCAGGAATAAAGTATAGGAGAAAAGTTGGGAACTAGAAATTCTTAAAGAATTATTGAGGAAAACATATAAATAGAAAATTTAAATATCTGTTAGTTAACCTGGTCGTATACGAGCGTGGCAATAAATGTAAGCGATATATCGGTGTATCCAAAGAAGATAATCGATATATCACGCTCATCTCCAATTCCAAAAACAAACGCAAAAATTGCTGCATTTTTTCAAACGAAAAGGAAGTGTTTTATATTTTATTGTGGAAGATACTCAAAGGACCCGTAAGTTTCAATATCCTGCAAGCAACATTATGCAGATTTACGCACTCAAAGCAATTGCTGAGATAAGCGACAGCACATGCCTTGCCTGTTGCGGCTGGCGACATCCATCTGCAAACGCCGCACCTGATTAGGATGAACAGATGAGAATAACAATAATGGCAAATCGCATTTAATTAATAGTTCCATAATCTATAGATGCAGTACGTCGCACTTACCAACATATGTACGTTGTTTGCACGCAAAGCTGAGGCGTACTCATATGCAGTGACATCACATCACACCCGATGCTATGACGCAAAATAGTTGGTACCCAGGATAAGAATTAGCGATTTATTATGTACATATGTACATCCATGCATCTACGCTAAAGGCACCTTTGCAGATTTCAAGCCCATAATTCTAATGCGCATTAACCCAAACTTGTTGTCTACGTGTGAAGATAAGCCTGTCTCTCCTTGAATGTCGATGAATTCATATGTACATACGTATACATGTATACATCTACATACATATTTATGTATGTATTTAATATTCTTTATTAGAAATGGTCGAAACTACGTTTCAATGAAACCTCGTCGCCCGGTTTTAAAGCCATATTCATATCAGAATTCAATCCTAAATATTACTTCTTTGATTGTAAATTTGTTACCATTATTTGCAAGCAATGGCTATGGCTGCAAATGCTTACAAACAAACATATGGACAGACAATATCATCGTGGGGATATTAATAATACAATGAGAGTGAAACTAGCCATATGCCCTTCGTATTCTCGTAAGTGTTCTCGGAATCTGGAATGTGTCCTGCTATTAAAAAAAAACATTGGCTCGAGCCACTGCGTGAGGGGATTGGACTCACCAACTGGATTTGGCCTGGTCAAAGTGCAAGAACAATAAAGTTATCTATACGCAGATTATTATAAGGCAGGGCAACTGGATTCACGGCCTAACCTATTATTAACGCGGCACGCCGAGTTTAAAAAATCGATTAGATAGGGTTAACATGGTCCAAACCCACTGCTGGTACAAAGTGCGAAGGCTAAACCCGCTGGCTGAACCGGGCTGGCGGCTGGTGCAGCCATGTGTGCGGCTTTAAATTTTAAAAATTGCATTGTTTATAAGCGTCTGCGTATTGATATTATCGCTCAGATAAAATGCAAAACTGCCTCTGATTCAATCGTTCACTTAGGAATTGGCTAATTGAAGTCATTATAGAGTGAATGTTTACAATTTCTCCCAAATTGTAAATCCACATCGATTGGGGGGCTACGTGCATGCTGCTAATCTAAAGAACATAGGCAAGAATCGACTCGCCGGCACAAATGAAATGCATACGCCGACAGAAAAAAGCTCTGACGTTGTCGCTCGGCTCGGTCGCTTGCTCGCTTCCATCTCGGTTGTTGATTTCCTCGTACGAATGTTTTCGTTTTTGAGAGTGCGCGAAAGTTTAGTTAGTTGAACTTAATATTGTCTAGCGTGCGGACGTGTTGTCCCACAACAAATACTAATTGAAACAAGAAACTGTGCGAAAAGAAAAGCGCGAGTTAAAGAAGTTAAAGGCGACTTGGTCAAGGAAACAGGTTGGTTGCTAGCCATGGACTATTCCAGATGTCATGTACATAATATAGTGTCTAAGGCAGTGCAATGACTTGTTGAGCCAATGCAACAGGATTTTGTGTGTCTAGTGTTTACGTAAAAGCGGCATGCCAGGCGCCAGCAAAGCAAGAAATTACAACAATTATTCTACACAGTTCTACATTTCATTTCCATTTTAATTCCGATACTTGCTTGTATATACAAATACGATACGTACCAAACGAGACGTTCGTTCGTGTGTACATATGTATGCGTAGTTTGTGGTTCGATCTCTGTCTGCGATGTATTTATGTTTCTTTTGCGCTCAGCTTTTGCTCTTCAAACTCTTAACTGGACGATCTTGGGGTCGAGTTTTTAAGCAGCCACTACACTCTGTAGTCCGCCAAGGTTTCAGTTTAACGGTCAAAGTGTTTAACGGAAGGTTAGATGTCGGTCTAGTCGCTTATTATACCAGGTACTCGAAGAGTAAATAGGGTATATTGTATTTGTGGGGAATAACGGTTGTATGTAACGCACAGAAGGAAACGTTTCCGACCCCATAAAGTATGTATATTCTTGATCAGCATCAATAGACGAGTCGATAGACATGTCTGTCTGTCTGTCCGTCTTGTTTGTCGGCTAGTTCTCGGAGACTATAAGAGCTAGGGCCACCAAATTTTGGCTCCAGACTGCTGTATGCTCACACTGAAACCAGTGTATTTCAAAAATGAGCCACGCCCACTTCCGCCCCCGCAAAAGGGCGAAAACCTCCCAAATCTACAATTTTGAGGATAAAATAAAACTAAAAACGCCATTCCGTAGGGAATGGCCATATCTATCAGATCACCAAATCCGATTGGGATCCGATTGGATTATTATTATAGCCACAATGAAGAAATTAATTTCCAGTGGCTAAACCCACCCTGTCCTGCAGCTTTTGTTGTTCTTTTTACATTCTCTCATTCACACTCTGCTTCTGCTTCACTCGGCCCCTGCCTCTGCCCTCCCCCTGGCGCTGACTCTTCCGACTTTTAACCCACCCCGTCCCGCAGCTTATATTTGTTTTTTTTTTGTGTGCGGGCGTGTGTGGGTCTAGGGAAGGGCGGCGAGCTAAAGGAGCG